AGTTCATACCGGAAGCTATCGCCGCCTTCACTCTTCACTAAATTTTCAGTTCGTATTTCCCAACCAATTATTGTTCCGAGAAGTTGCAGAACATGTTCAAGGTACCAGGTTGAAAAGTTTGAATAATCTCACTTCCCGTCTCAATGAGACATCAAATGTCTTGCAAATAGCGGCTTCCGTGAGAACAAAATTGAACTGAAGAAAGGAAACTGATAATGAGAGTGAAATCCACCGTTACCTCAAATGCAGGTTTAAAAGAGCTTGGAATGAGCACGTAAGTACTATACTCCGTCTTACTTTACGTGTGAGCGTAGCAGGAGCTACAAGTGCGAGCTCCGGGCTTTCAGCGTCCCTACCAGGCACGCACCCTCGTGCAGTGCAAACACTCTTCAGGGCTACTTGATTGCGCTTGTAGCATCGGCTGCGGTTCAATTTCATCTGAAACGAAGTACAGTCCCTGTACTTCATTCTTTCAAAGCGATTGCGTGTGCTTTTAGAGAGTTTTAGTGGATGTTTCTTTCAGGCCACGCTATTTGTCGCGCGAGCTCACGCTGCCACTTCGATGCATGCTCTGAAGCGCGCGCCCGTAGAGGTAGGGGGACTTTGAAAATTATCTACTTAGAGTGCCTAATCTATTGTGTGCTCGTACCTGACGTTCTCAAACAGGCAATAGAAGAAATCGGGATCAAGTCTGCACTGGGGCCACTGCACTCCGCTCACCTTTAAGCTGAGACTGCAGCCAACGCCACAAGCGGGAGAGCTCAAGGTCGTTGCTTTGAAGCGTTCTTCCGCAGAACGAGCATTCGCGCTAGAAATCCACGTCTCAAAGCTAGGAGCCCGGACCAAATTAAAACCTTATCGCGTGAGGGGCAGGTCACTTGGCAATGTCAGGATTTCGTTCCATAGAGCGCTCTATGGAACCAAATCCTGACATTGCCAAGGGACCTGCCCCTCAGGAGCTAAGATTTTAATTTGTAAAAGTACGCGGAGTGTAATTTGAAAAACTATGCGACAAGTGTTTTGGTCGCACACGTAGTCACGCTTGTTGCTTGCTTATTGCACATACAAAACGTTCTCATAAAAATCACTCCGCTTGGAGCCACGGCGCTTCTACTTCATAAGTGCACATACAAAGCAGCAACATGCGAATATTTAGTTTGACAAGTTTTATAAACAACAACTCGGCAAGAACTTCTCAGAATTAAAAAAAATATATATAATTCCTGAAACACTCCTCAACTGAAAGCGCGTTTACGAGAAAAATTTTCAATGTGCATTAAGTGCCATATTTAAAGCTAATAATAGAGCAATCATGTAGCATTCATTAAAAAGCAATTACAATTACCGATTAATACTACGTCTCGTCAGAAAGGCGTTAATCCCTTTCGACAAATACGTTTTCAACCAAAAACAAAATGCCGAGAACCGCTGGCGGCATTCGGAAATCAATGTATGGGCTCGAAATTGGACGACAGCGTTGAGTAAAAATTATTCAAATTATTTTAAGCGTAATCTCTTCGTCACGAGGGAATTCCACTCGCTACTTTCGGCGATGACCGCCAAGCCAAAACGAGTATTACATCCCCGAGGCACTCAAAAAGACAAACGCGAGAAATAAAGCCCCATGCGGTTTTCGTTTCTCGAAATTGGTTTTATGGCGCACGAGTGGACTCTGAGAGAGGATGCCGCAAGAAGGGGGAAGGCAGGAGATAGCGGAAGCCAGAGAGACAGAGGGAAAAGAAAAAGCTGAAGATGGTGCGAGGAAGAGCAAAAAAAAAAAAGGAAAAGAGGAACGATCGAAATTTGAAACATGCAAATCCCTCGCGCATCAGCTGGACGTCGGGAATTTGATTTCGTTTCGCAGCAAATGGAATTACCCTCGCGAGAGAACGGTAGCGAACGAGCACGCTGCGCCGGGAACGTTCTGTGTACACACTTCGGGCACACTCGCGCTGAAACAAGCTTTAGGCGAGGTGAAAACATCAAAAAGACAAAAAGACGCGCGCACACAAAAAGAAAAAGCAAGAACGACGGTTGATTGCCGCGGATGTGTGATTGCCAAGAAAAGTTTTGAAAGAACCTCGATTGGGAGGAACATTTCAGTTGTCATTACCAGAGGGCTTACTTTCCACAATAAAAATAATGCAGGCTCGCTCTGTGTTGCAATCATTACATTTCAAACAATTTTCCATTTTAATAATGCGAGGCTGTAAAGAATAAAGACGCCTAAAGAGTCCAGCATCAAAGGGTATTCAAAGTTCAAAGGGCTCGGCGAGTCCAGCGGGAATGCTTATTGTTCTTGACACGCTGCCTCCAGCCCCTCAAAGCTTGGCAAGGTAGAAAAGGGTGAGCTTCAGCCCTCTTGTCTAAGTTTTATTTTTTCAATGCATACACCTTTCTTGTTTACTGTCGTCCACAGCCACCGTTATGGGCGACTACTAAAACATTTTATCTTGCAAATATTAAGAAGTACAGGGACGCATATATCCTTAATGTATTCTATTGGCGGGGCGACTGCAAAACTGTGTGTGTGTGCGTGTGTGTGTGTGTGCGTGCGTGTGCGTGCGTGCGTGTGTCTGTGCAATGACGTGAGAATATAGCGCTTGTATTATCCTAATCTTTCAAATGAGCGAGGCAGCTCGAATGGTAAGGCTTATTGTGGCCAATAAGCCTTAAAAGACATTATGCAGCCAACACCGTTAAAACGGGACGCAGCGTATGATATATTGGAATGATATCAACATAGCCAAGTTACTTCACCACATTCCGTTTGTTTCCTACAGAATAAATAGATGAAGGATGCCTATTGAAATCACACTTTCAAAGCATCATTCATTAACCCACGAAACGTGGTGCTCCGTGAAGTCGCATTGCCGCGTTCAACCACACCGTACGTCGGGGAAGCAATAATTGTCTCATCCTAGGCCGCCTGAAGACGTCACGGAACAAAGTCACTGTCGTGTTTTGCTATCCTCCATATCTTCTTTAGTAAACAAAAAAAAAGCTCTCGAAAACTATCAAACTTTATTCCTTCCGCTTCTGCATGAAGTCAATGTTGTGGAGGGGACGATGTACTATTTTCTGATCGGCAGAGAGACTTGAATCGGACGCATAACGCTTCTAACTTGTGGTCCTGATTTCTGAAGTTGCCACTCACAATAAAGCACATAATCTTGGCTGTACTTCAATGCAAGGCAAAACGGAGCCCAGTTACTATTCGCGTAAGCGTGCAATGGCGGTCAAACCTCCCAGCTAACAGCATCATTTCGAAAGAGCCTAAAATAATCTATTGTTTTGTGGGGGTAAAAGAAGGCGACACATCCTTATGTAGATTTGGGTTCTTTTGTTTTTTTTTGTTTTACCGTTCAAGTTATTTCGGTGCATCTCCCAATTCTTCCAATGGCCTCGTATTAAGTCTCTGTACCTCCCAATGACCTTGTACCAAAAGTGAGAATAATGCAAGTTTTGAAAGACAGAACCCTCGATGTTTCCTCTTGTATCTACAGAACGCACATTTTGTTTTATTGTTTCATTTAATACAATCTAGACCGGTGTGAGACAGATAGCTAAAGAGCTCTCCAAGGGCTACCCACGTTTTTTTTCTTTGCTCTTTTTATTCGCAGTTCCGTGTCGTCGCTTAATCCTCTCAAAGTCGCTAGTGGGGGTTTAATCCTTTTCACAAGATTAAACCCAAAATGTCCGTCTGGTCTGCAGAGAAGTGTCGCATTAGTGCAGAAATCTGCCGTAATCCTGAAGGTGTCAGGTCGCCGAATCTCGTGTTTCCATACATTGTTGACGCTAATTCCGAGCAATCGCCGCGCTCAAATTGGAGGTATGGACATGGACTGGTATGCGCACCGCTCGAATTTGTAATTATAAACACACAAAGCTAGTGAAAACATTACACTCGAAATCACGAGATCGGCCTGAATTTTATAGAAACGGGGATTCGCGTTCCTAGCACCGCGGCGAGAACTATTCGCCAAGGGTGTAAAAAGGTTGCGTTCCCCCAGCGATGTGAAACCAATGTCAATATTGTTAATAAAATGATTTTTATCTTGTATTTTCAGACTCTTTCATTAATAAGAGAGACCAGTTTGAGATATTTCAGGTAATAAAGTTATTGAGCAAAAACTTAAGATGCAGGCTTCCAACACTCAGAAGTCAGCGGTGCACATTTTCTCGCCATGGTATGATCTCACTGAAGAAGGAAGTGATCAGTGCGTTGATATTTTAAATAGAGGGTATAGAAAAAAAAATAAAGCAAGCGACGTATTGTGAATTTTACTTACAAGTCATTACAGAATTATAAAATGTGTATATAAAAAACTGTAATTAATGTCGACTCGGTAGAAGTGATGCAGTTATGGCTAAACGACAGCAAACAACGATGGCTCGAGATACAAAACCACATTTATGCGAATCTAGGCTGCTTAAACAGGAATTTTCACTGCATTGTAAAAGACAGACAAGAACAAGCCTTAGACACTTCCAAGAGCTCTAGATATGCGCGACAATTAAATTGTGGCTGACACAAAATACAAAACTTATTTTGCAAAAAAAAAATTAAAAAAAAACTTTCCATCTAGTTGATTTAATCTAATTAATTATTCTTACACCTCAAAACCCTGTCAAATATCAGGCTAATCTTACGTTACAGGTTCATCGATCAAGACGGCGACCCACCAAAATCATCCGTGCACAAAACGACGATGGTAATATGTTTTTCAGTATAGTTATTTTTGCAAACGTTCTAACTAAAAAAAAAAACAAAATTGCGAGAGAATTATTTTTAAAAGTAGACATGGCTTTGGTTTCTGGGAATGCAGAGGACTTGGGTATGAATGATTTATGCGGTCAGCCAAAACAATCTACCGCACGAGACCGCGTACAACCGGGCAGGGTGTCAACGCGCGAACCTTTCATTCAAAAGGGGATTTGTCCCGCGCAAACTGCGCCAATAATACACCGTAAAGGCGAGCCGCCAATCAATCAATTACCTTGTAGTGAAACTTTTCCTGCGCCTTGGTGATGCCCGCTCGATTACCGATCACGACGTACGTGGCTTGAGCGCCGTGCGGGCTTGGCTGCGTTCGGCAGACCACTCTGCAAAAAAGAAAAAGAAAAGAATGACACCCACACGCGCAATCATTTTTACACTTTTAATGTCAGAAACCCTTTCAGTTCGTTCAAAAAGTACACGACACCGTAAAACTGACTCCGGTGTGTTTTCGCGCGGAGATGGCAAATGCTTCATTATTTATTGCGCTCGGCGGCTGCTGGCAGCGCGGCGCGCTGCTTTGTTTCGTCACGGCCGCATAAATAATAAGGAGCGCGCAGCGATGGCTCGCTATTGCGCATGCGCAAGTCGCCGGATTTGATGAAGTTGGACAGGTCGTTCGTCATGTGGACCCAGACCGGCGAACGGGGTGGGAGAAACGAACCGCGGCTTCGGAAGGGGAACATGCGAATTTTATAAGCCGTAAGAATTCTAAATCGAAACGACGGGCAGCGGCTTTGCCACCGTCGCCGCACGCGGGTAGATGTTAGATCAATTCATTTGACGTTAGACGTATGGCGGATTTTTGAACGTTAAACCTCTACCACCATTTTTTTAAAGATGTGTGTCTGTGTATTTTTTTTTTTTTTTGGCATTTGAGATATTAAACTGCCACTTTCTTTTTCCGTGAAATTTTATTTTAGTCTTCTAACGTCTGGTCGTGTGTGTGTGCGTGTATGTGCATGTGTGTATGTGGGTGTGTGTGTGTCCGGATGATGAGATTGGTGTGCCGCTAGAATGTCGGAATTGTGTGGCGAATATTGAATTAACGTCGGTGCGCACGGGTTCGGTAATGTGGTTAGCTTTGAAGGTTTCACTGGGAGTTTGGTTAGGAGTTGTGACGAAGATGAAGATGGCATCGGATCAAAATTGCAGTAAGACCCTATGCGTCTAGACACTGAAAGATTGGTTTATAGTTGATTAATTATAATCAAAGTTCTGCGTTCTGAAAAAAAAAAGTCCACCACCTTTTTTTTTTTTCTTATTGAGTTTAGGATTTTTGAACGAAGTATAGATACATAATAAATCTAATAGTAACTGACGGCTAATTAATTGCTTATATGTTTTTTTTCTAGCAGTGAATGCATTGAGTTACTTTGCTTCGGTATGAATACTTTGCTCATATGTTTTTTGTTTTTTTTTCATCTAGTGATTGTTATGTTGTCATAAGATATACCATGTGAACAGTATAAATTTAAAATAAATCCACAATATACAGAAACTTAGTTAAAAGCAACAAAAAAAAAAGAAGAAACGATTCACATTGTTTTAGCGACTCGTACGCAAACTTGCCGATGCCTCCCAATGATTATTACGACCAAAATATTTTAAAAATCAAAAGCTCCCTAAAGAACAAGAGAAGTGCGTCATCTCGTCCAGCGTTACCAAAGCTAACTTGGCACATGTGGTGCACAAATATGCGTATAACACGAAATATACTGGCATACTACGTCCTTGCGCAGTGCATGTAGGAGGGAAAGTAAAGAAGTGCGTAAAGTCATTACCGGCAAAGACTAGAAGACGCAAACATATACACACAAAATAAAAGTGTAAGGTTATGCTGCACTTTCTTGACTCGATTGAACTAGCCGATGTTAAACCAGGTGTACAAACAACGAAAGTTTTAACATCGCATCTTTTGAGCCACCTGGTTGATTCCATCGGTTGTGCTTAATCTTCGTGTGAGACTTGATATATATAACAAAGTACAAAACTAGGACGAGAGGATTTTGCTAAGTGTACGTCTTTAATACTACCGGACACGTATTTATTTATGCTGAAATAGTACGTAGCGCTAAAACCTTCAAACAAACAAGATTAAAATATTTTACGCTTTCAAGAAACAGTGCCAAACTTTCTACTGGGCAGTGGTATCAACTTCTCGGTTGTGTAATATATGCTAAGTTACTTTAATTGTGAACTTATAGTTCACTACAGATGTGTCTTTAGATATATATTCGATCATTCTTCATTGCTAAAGTTAATGGCGGCCATCAGTCCTATCTTATACTGTATCCTTCTCGTTTTCTCAAATGATACTTTTTTTTTTCTATTTTTATGTCCACATTACAGAAATGGCGGTTCTCTGCCATATTTAGGTTACATTTGTTACACGCTATGAATCATGCTTGTTGTGTAACATGCGATTTTGCTAGTTGTTTTATTGTGCCCTTTTATTTCATTTGTCATTTTACTGAATGTATCCTTCACACTGTTGAATGTTGAACTAACTGTTCCACTGTGCCTTCTTTTTTATGTTTTATTTTTATTTTTGCTGAATCTTTTCATTGCACTGTTGACTGTGGAACCGTTGGGGGGGGGGGGGGGGGGGGGGGACAAAGACTTTGTCAGGCTTCACGCCTTTATCTCTGACCCCTGGATGGAAAAACCCATCAAACAAATATAAAGAAAAAAACAGTAGTAGGCGTACGAGCAATGTGTTGCAGCTCATATAGTGCTTTTTACCATACCCTTCCCTCTTCTCTTCTACTCGATTTCCGCCATCAGACACTAAGTAATCTTTACGATCGCAGACGTCATTCCCAACCTTTTTTGAAGTCCCTTTCGCTCTAACCCCGATCACCAGCCTAACCAAGACAGTTTCCACCTCAATTTTTTCATTCTCAAAACAACCAGACATTCAAGAAAGAAAAAAGAAATATAAGATTAAGCTTTGTTTACAGTCACAAACACAGGGCACAGCGCAACAGTGTCCGGGAGAAGTGCACCCGAGATCATATACCGCAGCAAGATACAAAGAAAAACGCCCAGATACTTTGAGAGCACCGCGACCCGGGGGCGACTCGTGTCGCGAGACGCTGGCCCAAGAACCACTGATGTGTCTAAGATGAAGCCTAATCGAATCACCGGGAGACGAATCTTCATTTTGTTCTTGCCTCCCTGTATTCTTTTTTCTTCATCTTTCTCGTCTGTTGTGACGTCCGTGTTTGTATTTAGGTACCTTCCATCTCGACGGGCTGTTCGCTGGTTGCTTCTCCATCGGGTCAGAGACGATCCATTTAGGAGGAAATTAGATAATGGAAGTAGAAACAAGGCTCCCCCATCTGCCCCCCCCCCCCCCCCCCCCCCCCCCAAGCACGCTAGTGCGCCTAGATTGAAGAGTGCTTCCAACGAGCTCGGCTGAGGGTCACGCGGTGGCTTATGGGCCATGCTTGCGACACTCTACCTGCAAGGCGGTGACGAAACTTCGGTCTTCTTCAACCGACATTTCGCGCATAAGCAAACCTTATAGTGCTGAATTTTGCCGCTTCGCTGAACACCACCGTAGGGCAAGGTTTGGCACGGATTCAGCGTCAGCGTCAATAAAAAATAAAACGCCGAGTCCCCCCCGAGCGCCGACGCGACCCTCGTGCTCAATCTGCATCCACTGGTAAGCCTTCCTCGTGGCACAGGAAATTCGGTACAAAACCCGCAGTCAGAACCGTTCACACGTTACACAGAAGACGCAGTGTCGGATTGCAGGCCACGGTGACCAAATACAACCCTCTTTCAAAATTTCGAAAGGGTGCATAGATTGAAGTGCGGCCGCCATTAATTGGTCGGGCACTGTGAACTCGGAAAAACGAATTCCCCACGGTCTGACTCCGCGCCCCGCCTGTGCTCGGCGCGGACTCAGACCCAATCACCGGCTTCGCGGCGGAGAACGACGTAACCAACTTATTGCGGCCGCGTATCATCTACGCATCATTTCCACAATATGGGAAAGGGTCTATTAGAAAGATGTTCGATTCGTACGTATGTATGCTTCCAACATGTGTACCGACCGTTCTTGTATGTCCAATGTGATTGGACAGGCGCTTCCGCCTCTCCGCCATCTTTCCTCCCCGTCACGCGACAACGCAACGCATGTGTACTTGCAACCCATGTACGCAGGAGGCGACCTCCGTTCGGTGGCAAACGATCTCCGCGGTTTCGATTGCTCCCACTCCTAAGTTTAGAGGCTCTCTACCCCGCACGCTATGGCCTCTTCTTGTTGCTGGCACTTCTCCCTCCCGGCGACGCGGGCTAAAGGTTGCAGCTGTAGTCTTACTTTTGGGGGAACATCATTTTGTTGCCCTCCGGCGTTAATTGAAGAGAGAGCTCGTCGGTCCCTGTCCTGACTGGCCTCGTCTCTCGAACGCTCTTTCGGGATATCCGTCTTAGATGGGGCCGAGCCCTGAGCGCTTCGTAGCTCGCCGTACGTGCTGACAGCGAACGAAGGACAAAAATACTTTTTTTTTTCTAGCGAATTAACTTAGTCTTTAGTGCCCCGTTAGAAGAAAATGAAGAACTTCTCTGGCGTCACATTAGTTTACGCGTAACCGTTAGTGAACTTGGAAAGCCATGGATTAAGTAGATCATCTTGCCTTGCTTGTTTTTGTTTTTTTGTTGTTTTTTTCAGCGAATTTTTGCATCCTCCAGTGACCCTAGTGCATCTAGGAGTGCGTCAAGTTTCATTGTCTTTTTAATTAAGTTGCGAAAATTATTTCCGTGATATTATCCTAATAGCCTTCGTGATAAACAGTATATCAAAATAACTTTACATAGAATTTCTTCGGAGCTAGCTCCCGCCTCTCAGTTAACACGTTTAATTGACGATAAATTAGTAGTATGCGTTAAGCAAGCTGATATAACCACTAACGTCTGTGGTGAAGAAGCAACTCACACTTTTGTACCGAGACGATGTTTGTTAGCATATCCAGAGATTCTTTCAAATTCGATATTCTTTAGACATCATGCAGGGACACCATTCTCATATCGATTACAAACATTTCCCCTGTTGACACTCCATACGTGCAGTCAGATTTGAGGGCGCGTACTGCCGCCTTGTGGGCGAAATCGGTAGCATGTGACCCCGGCATACTTATGGTAATAAAATAAAACTAACGCAGTTTGGAAGATGTCTGAATGTATATATGAACGAATACCTTTTGAATCCTTATATTCGAACGATGGCTCGCGCCACCTAGCCGCGGTGTGAACAACCTTTGCAAACAGCTGGTCACGGCTGTTACAGAATTAAACAAAGTTTGGTTGACAGAAAAAAAAATTAATAAAAACAGGCTCACATCGCGCTATACGTATGGCCGTCTCTGGGAGTGAATTTACCTGACGGAGACGCTGTATTCAACGGGGACGCAAGGGACGCCTCCGATGAGAATCTTGTCGCGGATCTCTTCTTCGCTCGTTCCCAGATTGCTGCCTTCAATGGTCACCAGGGTACCCCCTTCCACGGGTCCGTTCAAAGGATGAATCTGCACGAGGAAAATAGAGCTGTCGAGTGTTTGTTTATACAGCGGAACGTTGGTCAGTCCCAAATGGGAGAAGAATGTTTCCACAATAAACGAGAAATTTAGCCAGTGCAGTGGTACCGCTGCTAACCTGGCGACTTTGACGCTCACTGCGCATTACTGATACACAACCGCAAGCCGGCACAATGCTCATCCAGATTGAAATGAATGAGAGAGGAGACGAAACCTAGGGTTCCTGCAGGTTCTGCAGCGCGATCGTTCGCTGAACATGTTCGGAGGGACCTTCGGTGTGATACACCACAGTCGGGCACCGAACACGCCGAGTCTGCACACTGAGATTCACTGTGCCATTTATTTTCAGATAAGTAAAACGGATGACGTGTAGTAAGCCTTTAATTTCTAATACGAATAAAACTACCGCGAGAAATAAAATGGGAGTTGTTTTCATATCCAACCTACCAAAGGCGGAATGGCAACACGCATCGGCGAGCAGCTCTGAATTAATATACGTCACTTGAAAGTCCTATGGGATCTAAATTTTGGTAGCAGATCACCTACACGTACAAACGTTCAATGCGCTATGCTAACTTCGGTTAGAATGGTCGGGATTCGAACCCGTGAACCAGGTTCTAATCCTGGTCCCGCGAACCAGCAAACTGCAAACAAACCTGCCTGCGGTTTCTTTTCTTTTTTTTTTTTAGCAATAGATAATTTTTTAAAGATCATAATTACATATTTATGTAAACATATTTGTTCATCTAATTTATTCTTCGCGCAGGCATGCATGCGTGCTCGTGTATGGGTGTATGGTCGTGCACCAGTCTACAGGCACACGGCTGAGCACCTCATATTTAAATTCGCAGCCGAATGGTGATGAGCGCAGTTCGGTTTTCTAAAACGTAACAAGTTATATGAAATAGTCAATAACATCGTACAATTATTTTATCGAAATATGTCTGCAAGTTTGTGCCTATGCGTACGAGGCGATGACCATCAAAGGAAAGGAAAACCCTGGTGTCAGTGCACCATCAGTGGCATGAACTGACAAAGACCTTAATTACCTTCACCTTCCTACATGCGATTCTTTCAGTGGTTTACTGTCAGCAACTTTCTCATTCTTTCGTTCTGCTATTTCTTAGCGCTTTGAACGTAACTTCCTCTCGCCGTTAAGGAAATTTTGTTCTTGGAAAGTTTTTATGTGCTGAAAAGAAACAAGAGAAAGAAACGCCTTGTTTTTCTCTTCTGTGCGAGTATTAAAGTTGCGAGTTAGCGCTTGCTCCGTCAGTGTGTGGAGCGAAAGCTCGCGCTGCAGAAGATCCTGGGTCCAATCCCAGCCCCTGCCTGTTCCGATCTGGATGAGCATCGCACGCACCGGCGTGCGGTCGTGTATCACTACCGCGTGGTGCACGTTAAAGATCCAAGGTTAGCGGTTGTACTGCACTGGCTAAATTGCTCATCCACAGCTGGGAGACTCGTCGCCCGTTGAGGTAGACCAAGTTCTAGGCTGTATAAACATACACACAACCTGTTAGTGTGTACTTCAACTTAGCGCTATTTATTGGTAATATGCATATCCACCTAGCCACCTTAATATGTTCTAAACAAAAAGAAAAACACTTTTTGGCGTAGTTGCCTTTGAACACAAAACTATAGAAGTTCCCTTAAAACTAATGATTGTTTCGAAAAGAGAACAAAAAAGCGTTAAAAGTAGATAAAGTTTGATTTTTCTAGAACAAATATATTAAAGAATATTTCTCCGAGTAGCACTTTTCCTTCGGTAATTACTTGACCAATTATCACGTTACACATGTGGCATAACGTTTTATTTGGTCAATAACGTTAACAAAAAAAAAATAATTGTATCTCTTAAATGACCTTTTAGAAATGTACTTTTTCTAAAAAAAAAAAAAAAGAAAAACTTAATATTTACTATAAAAGGTTATGGGTATCCAGCAACGGTTTAACAGCACAAAAATACACTCCCTTTCCATGTTGGGGCTTCGTTAAGCCCTATTTATCCCATACTCCGGGACAACCTTCCGAAGCAACGAAACAAAAACAATGGGCCCTCGTGCGCGGACTGCTGTTTGAGCGCCGATCAAAGCTGCGCACGCGTACTCCTCGCTTTCCTTAAAACCAACCCCAACTCCAACAACGCACTCTGGCCAAGAAACAACAACATCGGCTCTGTTTTAAAAAAAAAAAAATGAAGCTCACCCAAAAATAGCAAGCAGAGCACCACGCCGCTCGCGCGCGCGCTGTACACCTTCGGCTTCTTTCCACTCACGTGTCCTTACAACAGTAAAACGACGCGGCCGGCGTCCAAGGTCGCGCGAAAGCCAGGCACCCCGCCCATAAACCAGCGCCGTCTGCGACACCGGGTAAACGAGCGACGCGTACGCCTCGCCACCGGCACACTCACGTCCGGTTGAAAGGAAGCGCCACGAAACCCGGAACCCGGTCTCGAATTCGCGACGCGAACCCCTCTCTATGCGCCGTCGCCGCCAACAGACGTTTACGATGGCCCGATTAGATAAAGCCCCCCCTTCCCAAATTACCATGAGCGTATCCACATCCATTGGTAGTCCACAAAAAAAGGGGGGTCTAGCAAAAAAATGTTTGAGCAGTAAAACGTTTCTCTCGGGGAAAAAAAGCGGTCATCGATGGCAGCGCGCGAGAAGCGACTTTGCGAGCGAATCTGCGCAGGGGACCGTGAGCGAGCCGGCGTAGAGCCGACGTAATTACGGACCTTCGCCCGAAAAGTCCGACAAAACGCAGCTCTCGCACCGCGCGCTGGAGAGCGCGCGCGACACGGCGAGCTTCGCACTGGCAGTATACATTTACTTAAGTTATTTTATTGTTTCGTTTCTTTGTTCCCTTTTCGGCGTCGCATGCTGAAAACGAGGCTAATTTATTTCGGGTGAACTGCTCTGTTTACCCTCCCGCCCATAGGCGTGTGCGTGTGACGCTGCTCCTCTTCTCAGTTGCGCTCACTGGTTGCTTTGCTTTGTTTTCACAGTGCATCACCTTCGGCAGCGTATATAGACAGCGCGTAATGTAGTCACGTTACTTGTAACATCTTCTCCCGCGTCTTTAAAGAAGAATTACATTTTAATTTCGTTTTTTGTGTTTCTGGGCGCAATTTACGTGAATTTCGCGCTCATTTCAGACCCCTTCAGAACCGGAACTGCAAAAAAGATACGCTAATAATGTTAAGTTTCTGCCCTGGCATAATGTTTCTTGGAATATGGCGCTTATGCATGCCTGTAACGTCAAAACAGTAAAACGTTTGAATCCATGCATAAAAAAGTAACGGAACAGAGTAAGTACGTGTCTTTTTCATGTGTGACCGTAACGGTAACGCGTTCCTTTTATTTGCAAGTGACGAGTAAACTATTTCAATACGTCTCTTTTTTTTTTTTTTTTTTCTTCTTCTTTTCGGTACCACCTACATGCAACACTGGTCTTAGGTCTCCAGATGTTCTGCCGCCGTCGTTCCGTTGCCACGGGAACAGTCGCGCGGCCGTCTGGAAAACAAAGGCCACCACCGAAACCCAGCGCACTCCCCACTTCGCGGCTAATTGTTGGCCCAGGGAAACACACCATTCCTGTGTTGGTGTGTGTGTCCGCGCGCGTTTCGGCGCTGGTCATTGTGAGTTGGCGCGCGTGTTCGGTGTAAGCGCGCACCGCCTCCGCGTGCGCAGCCGAGCGAGCGGCAGAAAAGAACTGTGTGTGTGTGTGTTGGGGGCCCGTGGGCGTACGACCGAACGTAATACATTATTGGATTGTCGTCCCAGGAAATCCGAAAGGTTGATAACATTAGTTCCCCGTCGGGACGCAGCGGTTCGAGCTGAAGAATGGGCTTTTAAAGGGAGGTGTCGCCGGCAGGGGGTGACGGCGGATGGATGCCTTTCGTTTGTAGTCTTAGCATGAACTAACTTCTTGGTTCTACGCTGTTTTTTTTTTTTTTTGTTTTCTCCTTTCTTTGCAGACGAGATGTGGGTGAATTTACTTAGTTTGCTTTTGGCGCTTCCATAGCACGCATTCGGGAAGGTACTTGCATTGTGTATGTCTGATGAGCCTTTAGTATAGTTAGTAACTTTATGTATATCCGCGGCATATGAGTGGCTGATAGTAGATTACGTTCGTATGAATAAAAACCGGCCTTAACTTTATTAAAACTTTGTTTAAATACGGATACGTGATATACAAATGAAAAATCTTGGGGTTAAATTTTATGGCAGAACATATATATTTTAAACTCGCCGCTGAAGCGTCGGGCCCACAGAAAAAACAAGCCTTGTTTTTTTTGTTTTTGTTTGTTTGTTTTTTTCGTTTTTTACTGAAAAGTTAGATTTTGCTTTTTCGATGTCTGTTTTCTAAACGTTTCAAACATATACCTATGACTTTTTTTATTACAATATACACAGAAACCGCGTTTGCAAACATTAGCCTTCAACGCTAAATTTAATGACTTCTATCACATATAGGGACAGAGTTAAGAACGTCAGTTTGGTATAATAGCTGCACTACAAATAACTTGATATTACAACTTCTATGTTTCCTTAAAATTGAGGAATCATTTTTATCGCGGCATTGATTACGAAAAGGGAGATTTTAAAGAGAGAATCGAAGCTTCTTGACTGATATAATTAAAAATAGAAAGCATCTGAAATGATGAAATATTTTATTTGGTATAGAGTTATTGGCTGCGGCGGACGCCAATACACGAATATAATGTTAATAATGAACTAATTATCAATATTGGCGACATCTAAATAGAAAATCTAGGCCCTAGTCAAAATAGTGCCGTAGAAGTTGGTAGATATTCCGGGAAAACAAATTTGTTCCGCACTATTTAGTGGAGCGTTTATGCTACCTAAAATGATACATGCCACAACTAATATGAATACAAACCATGCACCGAAAAGAATCCCAAAGTTTAACGCGTCTTTGCTGCAACCACGTGACCTCATTAATGACTTAGCCGGATAGACATAGTCATTATTCACCACTGGTTCTCAGAAGGATCACTTCAGGTTTCTTCAAGGGGGGACATTTGTAGTTTTTGTTTGCCATAGTTTCGGCATCTCATTGACAGGCTAAATTCGCCCTGAGTATACCAAACATACCTCAGTCTTACAAAAAGGAAACACTATATCCATCTCACTAAACGTTCCACGCAGGCGTGACGCCACCATGACTATAGTTCACCAGGGGAGAGGCGCCATTGCACCAGATGACTCGTGTCATCTCGTGCTCGCACTACAGTTCCCATGATCCATGCTGCCAGCGGCGACGTAAAGAAACTAACTACCTAATATCCGCCTACTGTCATTACATATTTACAATGACGGAATGAATGCCAAATTAGAATGTGCCAGCTCAGGCGGATATGTAAGAAGCTAATAGGAGTATCATACGTAATCGGTTCGCTAAGTATCAGAGAAGAATTACTTCATTACATTCGTCAAGGCCAGTAACGCTTTCCCGATATATACATATATATATATATATATATATATATATATATATATATATATATATATATATATATATATATATTATTTCTGAAGTTTTTTTTAATTTTTTTATCGACAGTATAACCAATCCAAAATTGCACGTTGTATGTCGAGAATGCATGAGGAATAACTTGCCAGATGAAGTACAATGACGAAATTCAAAGTTAAAAAAAATCGGGTGTTTTTCTTTATTGACTAAAAAAATACATCTAGATAAAGAAGAAAAAGTAAAAACTAACGCATGCTGTTCATCTCTAGAATGCATTCTGTTTCCATACACTTGTAAATAAAATTTAATATGTATGGACAAAAATATTCGGACCAAAAGAAGGGCAATTTAAAGACTTATCGATGTTCTTTATGGTTGCACGATTAAAATCTTGATTTGTTCATCGCAGTATAAGGAGGCTTTTGGGTATCCTTTGCAATAATATTAAAAGCATTTTTTTCGCATTGCGGCACACCACTTTCGGTCACTGTAAGTGGGGTTTCAAAGGCGGCGATTCTCCCATGCCCAGAACCTTACGTTGCCTCGTTAGCGAAACGGACCTGACAGGTAATCTCTCGAGGCCGGACGGGGAACCGACCAATCGAGCATTCTTAGCCCGAGCCCGAAAGAGAAAATCAGGATTTGTGGCCCGCCAAGCCTCGGGAACCTATAACTGCCCGCATGTCCCAAAGGGGACCCTTGATTGGATGAGGACTGAGGGCGGGCTTAATTACGACCAGCAGCTCTATCCAGAACCCGAATGCCTGGACGAGGAATTTGCGTATCCAGTTGCTGCCTGATTCGGACAAAGACACTGATTGCTAAGCTGCGTTGGGCTTTTTTTTTTATGTTGTCCCCGTTGGGAAAGGTTACACAATGTACTAGAAGGTCATCGCGCTCACCGAACTCCATAGCGCAACACTAACAGGCTTAGTTGCCAGGTGCCTCTGCGAGCTGTTCTTTACTAGAGTTCCTGTATAGCTACCTACGGTAGCAGAGTTGCGCATTCAGCCTCGGCGGGTGGCCGTAGCGCCGGCTTTCCCTCACGCCCTGGATGCTTTGCTCCTCACGTGACTAAATTTGGCGAATAACGGCGCCGCGCATGGAAAACAGGAGAGGAGGAAAAGGAGGCGGAAAGCAGGGGAACATACGCCGGGGCGCGAGAAACATCGGCGGAGCGACCGTAAAGGTGGCTTTCTTGCACGCCACCGGATGCTCTGCTCCTCACGTGATGGGTCTCGGCGAATAGCGGCGTGGCCGGCGCGGGGAAAACAAATGCGCAACCCTGGCTCCCGTAGAGAACCTATACAGGAACTCTATTCTTTACGACGGCTAGGGCGGTCGAAGACGGTTGCTGGTTGCAACATACCCGCGTTGTGACAGCGGTGAAAACCGAAACTGCTCGCTCATATCGTACCCTTAGTCCGCAATCAAACTACCCATACATTATTCAAAAGACACCGGTCACTGCAAAAATGTATGGCATGATCTGCGGAAGTTCCTCGCGTATGTTCCAAGCACGCTTGTTTCATTCCAACATGTCTTCAGACAGTCTTTGAATGAACAGTGTGAGAGCAGCGTCATACAAGGAAGAAGCATTCCTCCGACAATATCTGCAGACTGTTTCTTTTGTCTGATGTATTTGCAGTGGGTCCGCAGCTTTACGAAACAATAAGTCCTTCCTTTTCTGGCGGCTTGTCCCCAGTATGGCAATATTTGTCGTGTCAATACATAGAGCCAGGTTGTAGAGGTAGCACTTTGAAGTCCTTGACGTTTGATACGGCATACCTAGAAGTTGCTGATAAAGGGCTGTGCTTTCGTACTTTGATATACTCCATTTGCCCTTAAGCTGAGACAGCAGCCAATGCCACAAGCGTGATAACTAGAGGTCGCTGTTTTGAGGATTTGAGGCACGATCGAGGGTTAGCTCATGCTCGTATTTTGGCTGCAGTCTCAGCTTTAGGGTGAACAAGGTATAGGAGCTTTCCGTGATGATCTTGATGACAATGGTTTTCGGATAGACCGATGTCACTAAGCCTTCTACGCATGCATGGCGCCGCCACAACTGTAATTTACAGGACGCAGGTGCTCGTGCACGACGTAGCTTATGCCGCCCCGTGCTCTGTTCGCGTGGACCTCTATCGGGGTTGTCACGCGTGCAAAGGGACTATAGGTCCCGGAAGCATGGCGACAGCGGCGGCGTAGACGTTAGTGTAGGCAAACTATACTCCGTTCAACCTTAAGCTGAGGCTAGAAGCTCCGTCTTTAGCGCGAGATCGCTAGCTTCCGCAGTGCTTTGGTTGCACGTGCCTGCGCGTTCACACTCGTGTTAGCCAAGGCAGAAAGCTCGAGCTGAAGGCGGAGCCCCTGTTCTCAGCTTATGGACGAACGATACATAGCTGTGGAGATCAGTCTATTGAAACAGTTCTGAAGGACGCTACCAACAGAATGCGGTGTTAATCCCGCAACTATAGGAAGTATTCACTGACGGCCATAGCTGTGTGCGCGACTACTGAGCGCGCGCTGATGGCTAACTTCCAGGGTTTTTTTGCAACGTGCATTCCACACCGTCGAAATGGCCGGTCTTAGCAGCATATTAATGGCGGCTCGTTCTGAGCATGCGCTCTAGAGGGCACCCACAAATATGGCACCCAGTGAATACTCCTTATACTCTATTTCATCTTACGGTGTACCGCAGGAAAGGCTATAAGCGTGAGCTCCTTTCCCAGGGGCATATCTCGGCGGCATAAGCTCTCGTGCATTAAGGGCAGCTGCCGACGCTATCAGCTCGCGCTGTAGTCTTCGCTGCGGTACAACATAAGGTGAAACGTAGTATAGTATTGCCTTCATGGCGCCTTTTTTTTTTTACCAAGAACTTATGTCGCTTTTGATGTGAAAGGGCGAAGTGTCAGCGTGTCTTGCCGTTGTCACTATTTTGTAATTCACATCAGAACTTACTGGTTCTCAGTCACCCTGCTCTGGAGCGATTTCCCCCGTAAAATGAACACGGTATGTATAAAAGTAGCTTGATTTGATGCTGCATTTCCTAGAAACAACGACAAAATATTGACGCTCTTGTTTATACAGCATGAGCTCGGTCTTTTTTTGAGGTTCGGCGACACTGGTTTACGCTGTAAATGAGACATTTAGATAGAAAAGGGTGCGAGGGCTCAAATGCAAGTCTGGGGTCCCACGCAGTAGTGAAACACGAGCGTACGTCGGTAGGATGCTCATCCCAATCGAAACGGGCATAGGTGGTGATTGAACCCAGGGTTCCTGGGTTCTACAGCGTAGTTTTCGCTCCACGTGCTCCCTGCGGTGCGCTAAAGCAAAAGGGGCTCTTGAGCCCTTGTACTGGACCAGACTGGACAAGCGAAGCAGACGTTGACAATCTCTATGTTGCCTCTTTCTGCTCCTGTTTCTTCTTCTTTTTTTCTTTTTTTTTTGGGGGGGGGGGGCGGGGGGGGTATTTAAAATTTTGCTTTTAAGCATGCGTCTTGCGTGGTACGGCTTCAGTTTGAAGATTATTCAGCGGCTTGGTCGAACACGAACACCGTAATAATTAGTGACACCCACAGGTAATAACGACTCATTCAGTTCCCTTTTCTGTTGAAGACAATCTTTATCTCCAATAAAAAATATTTAACCAGAGGGTTACGATGCTAATGAAATTAAATGCAAAGGTGCAAGCGTGCTGGACAAGACTGATGGAAATAATCCCTGGAAAAGGGGAACAAGGGGGACAAACGACAAACACAAATCTCAAAACACAGCTATACTCGGCGAAAACTTTTCTTGGAAATGCGATGGAGGGTACAGGGTACGCGCTCCCTATCCAATTTTGAGCGCTGGATAAGGCTGTGCGCCGGCTCTCCTCAACTTCCACTGCATTGCCAAGAAAAGTTGTCGCCGAGTACAGGTGACTGATGTGCGACCATAGGGTGGCCTTTCAGCCTCTTGGCGTTAATAAACGTCTCTACAATAGCATGGCTAGTGTAAACTATATTCCCCAATTAAAAAAAATATCTCGTCTTTTTTTTTTTTTGCTTTTGTGTGTTTACGGTTATTAATGCAATTATTCTGGAAAACAAATGGGAGATACAGCCTAATTGTAAGGCCAAATGGCACACAGATATCGTACAATGCATACAGATATCGTACAACGAAGGTGTGTCTAGCTACGCCACCCTCACCCAATCGATCCTGGGAGGCGGGCAGGACGTGGTGACCGGCTCAACGCACGAAGGTCCGTAGTTGCAGGAGCCTCCGCACCAGGAGCACTGGTAGCGCTTGTCCCGCGTCAGGCACAGGGAGCAGTCCTGGCGACCGCCGTGGCTTCCCAGCAGAAGACACTTGTACAGAGTCACTGCGCCGAAAAATGGTCATTTACTATAACTGGCGTAGGATAAGTTAAAGCTTCTATATTACTACATTAACTGACAGCTTAACAAACGTTGGGCGTGGCATATAGTTTGTACGCACTTCTGGCTTGGAATTTGTTCTTGACCTTTCTTATCGGTTAATGTGACACCTCAATGCCTGCACATATCTTAAGCTCTCAATGAGTATTACGATATAAACCTCTAATCTATCATTTTAGATTTATAATCCCGCCCAAGCTATGTAACAGTCAAGCGAAATAGGCGTGCCTGCTGAATTAAAGAACAGTTACACTTACAACAGGTGTGTACACAAAGCACACGGAGATGTGTCGTAAAGTATGTTATCGCTACGGCAAGCATGTAATCGCAGAACTGCACCCTGACCTTGATCAAGAATTAAGCTCAGTTTCTGACAGCCGAGTGAACTGAAATTGCGGTTTCTAATGACCACATTAAGGTAAAACTTGATGAAGCTAAAACCTAGCGTATATCTGACAAAGTTCACGCGGTGGTACGTACGTTCGTTGATTCGATTACCGGCATCATTTTGGTTAGAGAACACCCGCACTTCTAGGGAGGTCGCTGATACGTGCTTGCGACGCATTTTAGTCCTTTATATAATATTTACAACACTACATACCGTTTTTAAATAACCATACACATCGCGTGCCCAAACACGTAAGCTGACAAAAGTGCCGTAACAGAATCATTTAACTTCTCTCTTCCAGAGGAAATAGTCCATTGACATTTTGGCACAAGTTGGCAAAGTTACAAATTAGATCAGCTCGCCGGAGTTGGAAAGAGGCTCGGAAGTTGATCCTCCACCCGAAGGCTCATATTCAAGAACATGACTTCAGATCGTAGTAAAATACAGTTCACAGTTCAGCACCGAACGCGAGAAACAGAGGGTAGCAGCGACCCTGTTCGTAGAGTCACTGAGAAGCACCAAGTTGCTCTTGGAGGACGGGACCGAAGAAATGACGAGGTGGTAAAGGTTTCAATGCGTAAAACTAATCTGCTCTTCGCCTATGAGCGCGTGACATGCACGTATGCTCACTCTCCTGAAGTAGATCAGCTTTCGTTTTCCGATGTCTTCTTCATCTCGTCATCCACCGGGTTCTACGGGTGGGTCACAGCAGCGCAATGTTGTTTACAGGCTCTTCAGGAAACGGACGTCCAGGCATTTTGTTTTTAGCAAACAGAGGACAAGAACCAAGTTCTTGGATTTTACACCTCAACTTATTCTAGGTTGGTAGTTTGGTACAATTCACGTCGTGACTCGTATCCTCGAATCAAAACCAAAATTACCGTTCGTTTTGTCGATGAACGTGTCACCATTCCAGAGGACGGTAAGCGATGCTTGTAGCTCTCCTTGTTCGGCTTGGTAAGTGTACTGCACAATAAAAGCGGAAGAAAGGACTCACCATTAGACAGTTGGGAAAGTATTAGTTCCAATTACATAACAACACCATTAATCAGGACGTATCCGCTTCCCATAGAAAAGAACACGAAAAGGAAACATAAGGCTGATAGAAATAATTTATCTTGCTCTCGTTGGATTTCTTCGAAAGTTGAGGAAGAATTGCACAAAATTGAATCCAGAAGAGAAATTGTTATCTTACTTCTACTTCCACGCAGTTTAAAAGGGTCGCTGTCAAAACACGTTATAAAAATATTGAGAACAATATTGTACACTGGGCGTGTCATAGAAGGAATGGTTCAGTCACCTTTAGTGAGTTATGTCAAATAGAAATATGAACTAGGCTGTGAAGTCCTATATCAGCCGTCACCAAAACAGGACTCAGGGTACACATGCAAAAAGTTTACGAGGACATTCAAAAAGTTTTTATTTCCGGATTTACAATCTCGTTAAGTTTTTTCTCAGCGATAGTGATCGAGTAATTTCTGCGATGCGCGGCACAGTTATTTGGAGAAAAAAGGGAACTCCCTCAAAGCCCAAGCACCCAGTTCTTTATTCAGACATCAGTAGAAGCCTCGGGCTTCCAGTCTTGCTTGAATCTGCCAGCTTTAAATGACCGTTCTATCACTTATTTATGGTGCGTGAATGCCATACATGTACCACTTACAAGGAAATAAAAAACCGTGGCGTATTTGCATACTTTCCCAAATTGTCTGATTGTCCCCAGATTATTTTTTCTTTTCTTTAAATTAGGACGCATTAAAAAAAAGTAAGGCTCCGAAAACTTTTTATTTTCTTTCCTCACTAATCTTAACCGATCGGGAGAAAGGTTCCTGAAGGACAACATGCACTTCGCGCTTTACACTTTTCCTCACTCTCTCCTTCCGCATATCCTTTCCACATTTCAAGTTGCCTTGATCCGACTTCCCTCGCAGTTTAGGAAAGGAGAGCGCGAAGAGGATTATCTTCCCCGCAGAAAACCGAGGTTGTACTGTGGCCTTTGAAGCACATACGCCACAAAAGGATTCGCAAGGTGGGCGATCAGCAACGAACGCTGGCAGATTGCTCTTTTGACAGTACTCATTCATCAGACGAATAAAGCGATTATATTCATTTTACTCTAAAGGCTCAATCTTCGAACACGTAAAATGAGTCCCCATTTGAGTCACGTGGCACACTCCACTCCCTAATTACGGTCATGTGGACCGACCCGACAAGCGAGGAACGACATGCCTTTCGCACGGAAGAGGAACCTCAGCTGATGAACGAGTCAACTCTCCCGCTAACGGCTACCGAACGCCAAGGCAGCGTCAACAAGAATGCCGGTCCTAACTGCATTCCCCGGCCCGTATCGCAGGTATCGATTATCCATTGGGGTTCCTAGCTTCCTTTTTTGTAGATTCGTGCCAGTTTTTATCTTAGACAGATATTGTCGTCGTTGCTGTTGTTGTTGTGACTGTTTTTTCTCGATATCTGCTGTTCGACGAAAGGGTGGTAGCAAAATCGCCGATGATCTTTCTTTTTCCCCTTTTTTTGGGGGGGAGCTGCATGGCCGCAAAAGCGGTTTCCCGTTGTTTCCGGCGCCGGTCTTCGATGTACGGTGACTGTGTTCCGTTTAACTGTAGGATGGACCGCAGCGCTGTACAAACCATTTCGGCCGATCTAGCGCTGTGAACCTGCCATCACGTGGCGTGACTGCGCGTTCCCCGTGTTCCGGCGCTCCTCCTGAAGATCACGTGAAGCTCACGTAGCACTGGATTGGCTTCGATAGTTTGCAGGGTCATTGGCGGCCAGTCGCAAGGTGAAATGGGGTATATTGTGCGTTGGCAACGCGTCGTATCTCCGGGCCCGACTTCAAGTAATGTTCCGTTTTGTGGAGTTTCGAAAGGCTAAGGCGCACGAGGGGATGCTGCTTTTAGCGTCGCTCGTTGTAATGTTTGCTTCAAGATGCTATAATCGCTACGTGTATTGTATGCACGTTCGGGGCAACTGCCGTAATTACAGTCGGTCTTTTTTCTTATATTCTTTTTTTTTACGGGGCGGATGGTATTATGATGGTTTGAGTTATTGAAAAATTCAAATGCGGACAACAACTTAGGGTAGCCTCCCTGCTCTTTTGTAAATATCGAAGTTGTCATTTTACACAAATGGAAAAAATGTCTAGTTATGTTTAGGAACGTTTTTGTTGCTCTTTGTTAGGCATGAGGGCATATGATATAACTAAGGAGAATATTATTTAATATTATTACGTTAAACTATCTCTCATAAACTAACTGTCCCTCTATTTTTTATTTTAACTTTTTAGCCATTTTCGACTACAAAGTTGCGCAAACAAACGCAGGGATATTTTTCTCGTAGTCATAAGCTTTTAGACTAATATAAGGCAACAGTGTAGCACTCTCGAAACATTTAACTAACACCCTTTTACACGCTACATATACATTGACTGAAATTTATGACAGCAAGTTTCTAGCTACATTCCTCATCTCATAGAAGAGAAAAAGGCATCAACGTTTTATGTGTGTGTAGCCCTATTTAGTGGTGAGGTCACTACGAAATGCAACTGTGATAAATGACCACATGCGTGTCCATTGATATACGTACCTCATATTTTCGTTTTTTGAAAATAGCCATTTTGAAACTCCTAAAAGGTCTGAAGCCGCGGTCCTCAAGTGGAGGGATCCCGGTAAAGGCGTGCTCACCGTACTTTCGGTGCAGATGACCTTGTTGTCGCGGATTCTGGCGAACACACGCTCCTTGGCTCCCTCGATTTCTACCACGCACTGAAATCCTTCCTGAAACAGAAGAGGAAAAAAAAACACAATCGGTGACGTCGTAAGTCTGGTTATTAGATACGTCACTTAATGAAGCATTAGACTCGGTAGTTGATATGCAATGAGCGACAAGTCTCACTGTTAAGCCGGGGTCACGCTGTTCGTACATCATACACAAGACAGCCTGCGTACAGATTCAAACGCGAGTCGCCACGAGATCCCTGCTTCGAATGCCGCATGGCAATGCGTTCAAGGCGAAAACTTGGCACGCGGCATTCGAACCACGGATACTGCGGGGACTCGAGTTTGCGTACTGTCCTTTGTGTGATGTATGAGTACTCTGACTCCGGCTTTATTGTCTCGAAGCATCCTGAGAGAAGGCGGCACATCGACGCTTTTCTCGAGCTCTTCTATGCGGCATTCGAAGCTAAGAAACTAAGAGAGAAGAGGAGACGAGAGCGCGCGGGGGCTTCAGTACGCCGATCTCTGGTTGGCATGATTAGTGGGTAGACCTAAAGCTAGCGGCCTTTGTCTACACTGCACTCGTCCAACGTAATCAGAACGCGGAACGCCGATGTCCGGCGTTTGGCTCTCGCGTTCGAAATGGTACGACGAGGGCAGTGGAGACAAAGGCAGCTGCGCGGACAGCAAGTCGTCTGCTTCTTGCGCAGGGGTTGCAGTGACGTCAGAAGGACGGCGAGTTCTGATTAGCTTTGATTGAAAGGATAGTGAGTAGACCTCAATGCTGGATGCCTCGTGGTCTACCCACTAGTTTTGTTTTCAATCAGGTGATAAGAGCCAGGCGCGCTGGCATCATCGCAACCCCAGCGCGAGAAGCAGAAGAACTTGCGCTCCGCATAACTTTAGGTCTACCCACTAATCCTTCCAATCAGAGATCGGCGTTCTCACGTCCCAGCGCGCTCTCGGCTCCTCCCCTCCCTCAGTTTCTCGAGTACGCCGATAACTTGAGCAAGGATCAAGTTGTCGGTGTATAAACCAAATAAGTAGGAAACGCGTGTCATTAATTCGAGGTAAGAAATGTGAGAGAAAACATACTACGAACTGTACGGCTTTAGAGCAAACGTCATTGTGCTATTTATTCATTGTTATAATTCTTGCAATAGAACTATACAATGAGCGGGGAAAAATAAGTTTATGCAGGTGTACTAGGAAAGCAACCCCACAGTATTTACAACCATCGTTTAAATAAAAGGACATTTTATTCCTTCACCGTTATTTTGTCTTCATAAAATCAACCTATAACTAAGGCGTCTTTTTTTTTTTTTTTTTGGAAAAAGGTTTTTTGTTTTCCGAACTTTTATTCTTCAGCCTTTTTGAGAAGCTCCCAAATGTTTAACAGCGAACGCCTGAAAAACAATATTAGTTTTTTTTTTTTTTTTATTATTATGAGGGATATGCCTTTGTCTTTAGAGTGATGTTTCCATTTTCATTGATTCTGTACCATTTCGTACCTGAAAAAAAAGCATTCGCTTATGCCCACTCCGGCATCGTTAAGTAATGCCGTTCGAACCGTAGTTGCTTAGAAAGTGAACTCGGATGGTCGGTAGCTCCTTACCACGCTCCGATTTAAGGCGCGACCACCAACGAGAAAAGACATATCGAACGCGAAACAGGCAAGAGCAATTCGCAGCGAGCGTTCGCGTGCTTCTTCTTTTTTTGTTGTTGTTGTTCTTGTTTTTTATGTTTCCTTTTTCAGCGTTTTATAGATTTATTGAACGGTACAGGGGTTTGTTTTGACAAAGTGCCGGAAGCGTTCGAGCCCCCTTTTCAGATCATTGCCCCCTTTCGCCCGCAAAGTTTGCCGAAGACCGACGTCAACTTGTGACCGGAGGCGTCAGAGAAAAAGAAGGTGGTAGAATGCGCACTTGGGCTAGGAGGTGCGGGCGCGCCCCTACAAGCAAGTACACGAAAGGAAGTAACAAGAAGAAAAAAAAAACTTGCGAGTTCAAAATCAAACGAAAGAGGGCCACAGTGAAAATCGTTTTCCGATAGGTGGGTCGATATGCGGGGATAGTCGGGAGAGAAACACGCAAAGGACAAAGGAAAAGTGGATTGGATAATGTGGGTGTTTCTTACCAGCCTCTTCTCTCCTTTGTTTCTAACTCGTTTTTCTTTTTTTCTTTTTTTAAGCAAAGGCGCGAAGAACCACAAGAGTAGATTAGCTCTTAAAAAAAGTTCTGGAAGATCGGAAAAATAACTCTCGCTTTATATTTTTTTTCAGGAAGTTAGGCAGCTGTTGCAGAGCCAAAAAAATAATGGGAAGAGGATGTGATTAATCAAACCACCTTCCGTATTCGGCGGTGCCAGATGACAAAACAGTCGGACACATTTAGACTCAATTTTGTTTTATTCAGGAAACGTTTCCCTTCAGGATAATTACCTTAACCTGCCAATCAACGGTGTTTTTTTTTGTGCGTGTGCGTGGGGGGGGGGGGGGGGGGGGGCACGCACGAAAGAACAGAGACACATGTGTCTTCTCTTCTATTTTAGGCACATAATTCACATTTTCTACGTGCGCCTCAATCAAGAATACAAACTTCACAGCACGTCTAGCAAGATTACTCGCCGACGCAAAACAATCACGAAGTGTGGTATCCCGTTTCTTTCACACCTCACGAGTAGATTCAATCGCGGTACCATCCTTCAGGGCGTCATGTTTCCCACCTATCTACGTGCTATTTACCACTATGTTAAAACACCTGAGACTGGGTGGGATAAAGCATCGAAACAACCAAAAGCAGAAGAGACAGGGAAAGAAGACAGCCAGACAACGTCTCAAACTCAGCTATTAAGTTTATTCAGTAAGCATCTTATATACACCTTTGAAACCAAGGTCGTCGCTAACCGACATGACAAACCGGAACAAATAACCTTTCCTCTTCCCTACCTTTTCTACAATCTCTGCAGCCACCTATGTACACATTTATGACACACCATGACCTTGCACGGTAACTCTACGTTCGATCGTAGAGTTACAACGCAGAGTTACCGTGCAAGGTCATGGTGTGTCGTAAATGTGTACATAGGTGGCTGCAAAGTTTGTAGAAAAGATAGGGAAGAGAAAAGGTTATTTGTTCTTGTTTGTTATGTCGGTTGGTAACGACCCTGGTTTCAAAGGTGTATACTTTACTGACTTACTGAATAAACTCATTAGCTGAGTTTGAGACGTCGTCTGGCTCGCTTCTTTCCCTGCCTCTTCTACTTTTGGTTGTTTCAAGGTTTTTTCACACCCAATCGCAGGTGGTTTAACGTAATGGTAAACTTACACCAGCTCGCCCGCCCCCTCACTGTATCTATGGAATTTCAATTCTTCAATTACCGTTTTAAGTGCAGTAATCTTAAACGTACTCTAACCAAGCAGCGGGTCCCGGTCGTAAAACCACCCACCTGAGCCCAGTCTTCACCTTAATTTATTATTTACACGTAATTCACAAAACACACACACACACACTCACACAAATATTATTCTTGTAATACGTTTGTCATAAGACAAATAACAATGTAACACTGTCGGCTCGGAGATTCCCGAGTTAAAACTAAGCCCTATATACCGTAAAATTCCGATCAAGCGCCCCCCACCCGACCAAGAGCCCTCGCCCCTCCCCAACTACACTGCTAATTTCACATATCCTCGCCGTTCCGGTAAAGCGTCCCCCTCCCCGCTCCTTACCCGTACCACGTACCGCGCCCAGGCAACACTGGACTGCCAAATCCGGTCCAAGAATCCAATCCGATCCAATCCTTCTTTTCAGCCCGACCAGCCCGATCGCCACGCGCCATTGTCGCTTTGTTTCGGCGGTGTCAGGTCGGCTATGCATTCTTACAGAGTGACAAAGAAAATCGAAATCGTCCAACGGCATCGTGAAAACGGGAAAAGCGTGCACCAGACGTCTCGACACTTAAAGCTTGACCGGATACGGGAATGGGACAAGAATTTTGACAATTTACTACAGCAAAACTTCGGGAAAGCCAAACTTTGACGAAAGCTAAGTAACGGCGCGCCGGTGTTCAGTGAATACGTGGACGACGCGCTCTCTGAATACCTGGAGCGCGAAAGAAGTGCAGGACGAGCCGTTAGCAACCGGCTTCTTTCTGAGGAGGCTGCCAAAATAGCCAAAGGCATGCAGTTGGCAAACATCGCGGAATGCTGCGAACATCCTTGCGAACGACTCTAAGGAGTTTTTGGTAGTTTTGAAAGCGACAAACATAGCAATGACAAATCTTTTGCCTTATAAAGTCGATGTTCCCAGAGATAAATAAAAAAATAAAATAAATGTGCACTGCGTTTTTTTTTTTTTTTTTTTTTTTTCTGGCGGGAAAGTTTTGTTGTCGTCATCTTGAATTTCGGTGCCGTTCCAAGATAGCCCCCTCCCCCCCCCCTTTTTTTTTTTTGCAGGTAATTTTGACTTGCGTGCGCGGGGGGAGCGGGGAGGGGGGGGGGGGGGGGGGGGCTTGCTCGGAATTTTACGGTATATATATCGCACTGCCATTTTCTCAGCTGGTCTATTTTATGTACACATCCTTTTCTCGCCTGAATGGTATTTTTTTACCGACTGAAACTGTATTTTTTTTTCACTTGGAAACCTCGCATCGTAATTGAGTATTTAATGACATTTAATCAAGCACAGCCCACCACCAGATGTGTGTAGTTCTTGGACGACAAAAGCAAGCACTTAAAAAGCGTGCCGAGCCACATGTTTGTGTCGGCACGCTTTCACGTCAGACAAATTCAGTTCCTATATGCGGGATATAAAATGCGTCAAAAATCGAAATAGACTGTATTAACTTTCGAGTGCATCGCAGCATCTATTTAATGGTATTCACGCGAAATCTAGGCCCCCATGGGAAACGAGACAAAGCAATGTAATTCTAGTTACGGTCTATCAATATTGGTTCCTTTACTCAATCTATAAGCAAGTGTACAAGTCTAAATCAACACATAGAAAATTTCCCACTTCGCTTTTAGAAAAAAGATTGAGGTACCCCTAAGCCTTCCTTATGAGTTGTGAATGCGAAAACATGCAAGCCGCTCGTCCGCTCCCTTTGTCGTCTGCTGCGTACTTTTCGTCGCCGGTCGGCGCGTGTGCTCCCCTGGTAACCTTGGACACTCCGCGCTAATGGACACGCAGCGCCATGGGGTGAGTGGTCGTGGAAACTGACGAGCGCAGCGGCCAATGGGAGCCCCGTCGATGCGCGCCAGCCAATGGAACCGAAGGAAACTATCTGCCGTTTTCGCGCTTCAGACTGATGACGTCAGCTCCCTCCATGAGACGGTTAATTCGTACGCATTAAAAAATAATAATTAAGATTTTCCTTGTGCGTGGCGCTTAATGTAACTTATTCTCATCAGATTTGAGACAATGAGGCGAAAATTATTAATTCCACGCCTGACGTATTAAAGGTGTGCAAGGACATGCAATAACGTGCAGAATTGAAACTCGGGTGTTCCCAAAACAATTGACGGTTGCATACAGTCATAGCCGTTTTTCTTTTCTTTTTTTTTTTTTTATTCTAGAAAGCCTGTCAAATCGCGAAACATTAAGGCCGCTGTAAAGAGGAAGGGAGATCAGAAAATAGGGCGTGCAGGGGCTCTGCAGGGCAGTTAATGGCTCCGTCATGGAATTGACAGGCTTTCTAGAATAAAGGAGACTATTGTTCAGTAGTACAGCATATCTTGAATGACAAACAATAACTCACCAGCGGTGTGAGAAGGTTCTTCACTTCAACAGCGATTTCTTTGCGGGCCTCGTGCGGCAGCAGTATTTCATCGTCAATGCTGAAGCTCGGGCAGTGCTGACGACCCTTGATCAGTGAGTTTTGCGAATTCTGAAAGAAACAGCTTTGCTAAGATGAATTTTCGCTTATTCGTGCAGCGCTTTATTTTTTTTACTTCGACCGAGCTCAACATCTATGGACGCTTTGTAGCAGCTGCGAATGGCCGCCGCCATAACCGACCTTCAGTTTTTGTTTCTTCTTATTCAGTTTACTTCACTTCATCATGACCCCAGCAGAACATGTTTTTGCCATTTAAGATTCTACTGCGTCATTGTCCCCAGCATTGGCCCTTTTGGAGGCTTGTCAACACCCGCTTCAGTGGCTCGGCATCTCGGTAAGAAAAAAGAAGGTCAGCAGTGGGGGCGGCTGCAATCTGTCACATGTGCAATAAGTCTATAGCTGCGAAATCCCATAATATCCAATGTCGTTCTACAATTGCTAGCATTTGTTTATGCGCAGTCCCGTCTGCACCAGTTCATAGATCCAGTTCAACTTGTTTTTGGAGCGCAGCTCTTAGGCGCCCGTTTCCGCGTTTTGCGGCGTCACCGTTGGCGTAACCGCCCGGCTAAATTTAGAGGGAAATTTAATTGATGTTAACGTCGCGTGACGTCAATTTTCCGGCTAAATCTAGCGGAGAAACTGGATTTGTTCATTGGTGACGTTACACGAAGTCATGTGACGTCATTTTCCCCGCTAAATTTAGTGGGGAAACTTAACTGGTGTTGAGGTCACGTGACGTCAATTTCTCCGCTAAATCTAGCGGGTAAACTTAACCCGCTGAATTTAGCGGGGAAATTTTCGCTAATTTAGCGAGGCACTTTTCGCTAAATTTTCGCATAATTTAGATGAAAATTGAGCGCGAAATTTTAAAGGGCGGAGGAGAGGAGGAGGAATGTAGGAGGAGGAGGATCAGTGGAGGAGGAGGAGGGAATAGGAGGACGAGGGGAGGGTACGGAGGGGGAGAAGGGGCATAACCTCTCCTCCCTATTGGCCTCGAGATCGACCTAGAGGTGGCGCTACGGTCGCGCTATCATCATCATCAAAGCGGGGATAGGAGAACGGCTGCCCCATAGGCTCTCCACGTTGGCGCACGAGACGGCGTGGATTCTTGCGTTTATTTTGTCGGATACTATCGGTGGGAAAACAATTCTAACAGAAAAGGATGCGGTACTGTTCGGTGCTTCAGTGAAGATCGAATCGTGATGACAGCGTGCGGCCTAAATTAATATAATCGCTTCTGTGGGTGCGTCGTCTGCTTAGGCAGACGTTGGAAAGCATGGATCACCACGACTAATACCTGCCTCCGACTGAACTGGAATATTTATGTAAATATTTGTTTCTTTTAAAATGGATGTATCGGTTTATCAACGTGGGAATTAAAAAGAAAAGCAATAAATTCCAACCCAGATAACATAATACTGCTCTGTGGGCTGTGAAATCGCAGCTTCTAAGCTTTTTTTTAACTTCGAGCTTTTGCAGTAATATAAATATTTAGAATGAAGATAAGTTAGCGCTGTATTGGAAATTACCATGCTATTGAGTTCCTCTGCCCTTTTACTGTGCCATAGTGTGGGTAAGCTTTTTGGAGTCTGAACTAATCTACTGCGTTGCGATGAGGAGAGAATGCACCTGCAAACTGCACGGTTTGCAGGACAACTAAAACAAGTGAAACAAACTGTTCTAATATATCTGCCGTGACTGTAAGAAACGAGTGTAACCGAGCAACGCAGAAATGTTCCTGTTATTAAATGCTTTTCTCGGTAGTGTGGGTTCACCCGCTTCAATTTTCTTGGTGAGGGCGCGGGCGTCAAGAGGCTAATACTATAAATTTCTGGCTAAATAATTGTAGCGGCAGCTCTCGGCAGCGATCCAGCACTTGAACGGTGCCAAGCTCACGGGACAGGCACGAGCTAAGGACACGAGGTGCCTGGACCACGAGCTGCACGGAATCTGGAATTCGGCGAAGGGCCCCTCGAAGAGTTAGTCAAAAAGGACAGTGTAGACATTGTAAATAAATATGTAGAGTGTGATTTACCGGGCCTCCGCTGCTACATAATCTTGTATTCAAACACAGTAGACTTTGCAACCCAAACAAACGACGCGCACCACGAAAGAGACAGCATCGGCCGCAGTGATATTCTTTTACTGATGAGGGCTAGCGACCTTCACGAGACTTTCCGATCACCCTCCGCCCTCACCTAACGTATATCGGGACTGGGCAGTTCATCGATTAACTTTCAGATTATTGAGGCAATGCTTTATTCGCAATTTATTTTGCCGGTTCAACAAGGAGTCAACAAAGAGTAAAAAATGCCTGCTTTAATATTTTTGACGTCTTTATTTCTTTTGTGACACAGGCTTGCACGGTAAGCAACTTCAGCGTGCTTGTCATTTCACCGAGGGTGATTATACTGTTTGAATAATAACTTAAAAATACTGCATTTTAAAAGGATTCCCGCGTTCATATTTATGTAGGACTCACAACGTGAAGTTTAGAGTGGGAATGCAATATGCCATTTATGACATAGTAAAACCAGCAAAAAAATGTGTAGTTTTAACGTCTTTCACGCAATATGACCGGCGAAAAATCAACATACGGATTTATTGATTGATTAGTCTATTAAAGGAGAGCGATCAGTTAGGTTAATTTTCTAATCAAAGCACAGAGCCACTCAACATTCAATGCTTTATGAAAGCCACGGTTTGTGCGAGATAACAAAAATACGTGGGACCACCGATTGTGTACAAACCAACACACTAAGGTTATGGAAGTTTACGACTTAATAATAATCGCTTTGCTGAATTTCTACGCATGGGAAACGATAAAACACAACCTTTAGTAAGAAGAAACGGCAAGAAAAACATAAAGCATTTGATGAGGAATGTCAAGCTCAGCCGGAAGCGCGCTTGCGTCGTCGAGATCCATGCTTCTGAGCGCGCGCCCGTAGCAGACGACGCACGGCGGTATCCCCGCTTTCGCGCGTTTCCAATTTCGGCCGCACGGTGGCGACACGGTTCGATCTCGAGGCGAATACCCTGCCCTCCTCCCCGTCGAGAGCTGCGCTCTAATTTTGCATTAAAAAAATTGTAAACGTCTCTTTTTTTTATGCCATAGCTTTACGGGTTTGTTCCCCATTTCGCAGCTCCGTGAGCGTAAACGAGTTCAGTTCCTTCCCTAAATTGAACGTAAGAATTAACGTCACGTGACTTATGCACCAATTCAGTTTTCCCGCTAAATTTGGCGGGAGAACCTACAAACAAACTCAGGTTCTCCACTAAATGTAGCGAAAAAAATTACGTCACGAGAAGTATGCACCCATTCAGCTTCCCCGCTACATTTTGCGGGAAAATCGATGTCACGGGACTTTACACCACGGGACTTACAGACGAATTGAGGTTACCTGATAAATTTAACGGAAACATTTAGGTCGCGGGAACTGTTAGCCAATTAAATGTCTCCGCTATATTTGGCGGAAATATTTGGGAAGATATGACTATCATCATCGTCCTATCGGCGAATAAGCAAAAGCTGTCTAAACAGATCACGCCCCATGATCGCCCCCTTACTTTTTTTTTTCTTATCTACTAATTCATGTAAAATGGAGGATTTTTCATTTGATCTGTGAACGATCTCCGGAAGTATCGCTCTTCGTAGTTCACGATATCTACGCATAACAATATAGGCACACCCCGTGTGCTGTGAACCACTGCTGACGTTTAGAACTGTGTTTTCTTTAAAATAATCCTGCTTTCTCGTTTTATGAAGTCAGGCGGTCTTTGTTAATAAGAGAATTTAGAAATTATAAGAAAAACAATGCAAGGTAAACAAACTCACCTTGGTTCCCGTTAGCGCCCTCTACAGCTCATATAGATCCGGTTACTTTCCGGCACGAGTAGAACTTTGTTCATACTTTATTGCCATTGTGCGTGCTTGTGACAATGTGTGTAACCGTCTGCTCGGAACAATTAGTATAACGTCTCTACCGTTCATTCTATGCTCATTTCCAGCATCCAAATTGTAATCTGCGCACTTTGATGATGAAACGTTCGTAGACTCCGGTTCTCAGCTGTGCATTAAAAATGCAGGCCTACTTCAGAAGTAGAATATCTAAAATGAAAGTTGGGTAGCAAGACGACCCAAATGACCCGACACGTTAAATAGCTAGCGGACGAAGAGTCTTCCACTCATGGCTAATAAAACTCCGGTATTATGGCGAATGTCACTCACGCTCTCTCCAATGATGACCCGGCGGGCGCAGTCGGTCGCGTTGCTCGTGCAAAGGTTTTCGTGCATACACCAGTTGCACGGCCACGAGCTCATCACGCACGACTTGCACCTGCGGAAAGAGAGTCCTTAACGAAAAGTTGCGCCATGCCACGGACGTTACGTGGAGCGCTATCGAAGGCACGAGGGCAGTCGTGTAGCTCTGGAACGTTTCTTACATGCACACGAACTCAATAAACCTATTGATAATTTATCCAAGCGTCAAGGAGATTGCTGGGAACCGCACGTTCAAGAAAAAGCCGAAAACACATGGCATCTTGCGCGCACGTTCGTCAACACCTTATTTTGGGTATTTACTTCGAATACCACATGCGGCGCGTAGGCCTACGTTCCCTGCATTCTCCTCGATGCTGGGGTAATGTAGCAGTAGGTTTATTAAAGGATGGAGTGTGTTATGGCACACGCACGCCCCAGACGTGTTTTTCATAGCCCTACAAAACACTCTTGACTGCCTATTATACGAATCTATAGTCGGTGACAAGTTTAAGCGTTCAGCCTTTGATAACACTTGGTCGCAAGCACACGCAAAGCGCGGTGGAAGAAAGCGAACGCGTGCCGTATAGGGAGTATTCACTGGCGGCCGTATCTGTGTGCGCGACTGCTGAGCTCGTGCTGACAGCCAGCTTCCACAGTTCTTTTGCAACGTGCATTCCGCACCATCAAGATTGCTGGTCTTAGCAGCCTATTAATGTGAGCTCGTTGTGAGCATGCGCTCTAAACATCGCCCTCAAATATGGCGTCCAGTGAATACTTCCTATACGCAAAGCTTCTGCATTCTTAGCCTGTCCCCGACTATATGATACACCGAGTGCGTTCTGCAAGTGCGCACACAGGTGCATACTTGCAAAACACACCTTTGTGTGTAAGCGCTAGCTCGTGAAAAATATGAAAATTAAGAACACGAACGTCTCCAGTGCGCGCGTTAACCAAATTATTAAGCAGGCGCTGTCATTGGTCGAGAGAGGGGAGAAGCAAGAACACACGAGTGCGTCCAGTATGTCAACGGAAGCACAGTGTGCCCAAATAATACGAACATTAATTTCGGTTTACTGAGATAAGCTGTTTCTGAGCAGGCAAGCAAGTAAACGATCATAGTGAAAAAAACGTTTCGCATTCCTACATGCTGCGCATTCTTACAAGCAGCGAGTCACGTCTTTCTTTCGTACACTGCTTTCCGGCGGCTTCACGACGGCTTCCGTGACGAAGCATTGCGTTGCTGTGCTTTTCTTTGTGTTTTATTGGGGTATAGAAGTTTAGGTGCCGTTTCGCTCAGGCACTGGGAATTTAGGTGCCGGTGTTCGCTGATACCGACAACGGCTACTGACAACGCCGGCTTCACTTTATTGGAGAGTTACTGTTTTCACATAAAAAAAAAACAGATCCTCGAAATTAATGACAAAAAAAGGAACAACGCAACATCGTCTCAAAAGCTCAGTTTTGAGACGATATTAGAGAGTTTTAGTAGATCGTTCCCATGGCTCCGATAACGATACCCGATACTCCGCCACCGCCTTCCTTGCGCATGCATAGTATCATTATCGGGGCTATCGGAGGTATCGGAACGATCTACTAAAACTCTCTATTGTGTTGTCCCGTTTTTGTCCCTAAACTCAAGGGGTTTTCTTGTTAGTTTTTTTTTTTTTTTTCACTAATATTAACGTTGGGCAATGAGCTCATTACACAGAGTCAATGTTTATGTGTTTTTTTTTTGTGTGTGTTCTGGTGAAACTCGATGTAAGCGAGGAGGTCAATATTCTGGTGAAAGGTTACGTTCTAAAACAGACATACCTCTAGGTGATTAGCGGAATTATGTGTAATTGCTAAATTGCGGAAGGTGCCGCCATGTGCCTGCTACGATGCGTGCACAAAACAAAAAAAAATACACTAAAAAAAAATATTCACGTGCGTTTGCGTTGTTGTAGAGCACTCGGAGAGTCAATCACTGTCCTGGTCGAAGAGAGCACGGAGGACGATAACTTCGGAAGCTAATGTTTAAACCTGCAATGTACTACTGAGCATGACGTTTCACATGCACCACGTCATACTCAGTACCCCATTACAGACTTTATTTTTACGTAGAAACAAACATTTCAGCCTCGTCATTCGCCCCACTTTCTTTATAAAACAGACTTATTCACGTTCTGAGAGCTCTAGGGAAAAGCATACGCACGGCAGTTTTCGAGGATGCGTTTTATCTGTCTTGGTTCCACTCGCTTCACTCCATTATGACCAAGCAAAAATTTCTTGCTTTCGTGAGGATGGCTCATCACCAGCCTGAGTCTCATTTACGTGTTGGCGCGATATCTGTCTCTAGGTAATGAACGTTATAATCTCTCTTACTGTAAAGAGGAGGTTTTGACAGGAAAGGACTGTTATCAAAGTTTGCTCTCGCAACGTGCTTAGAAGCCATGTACACCACTGCGATGGAGAGTGTGTGGCGGTCTTCACCTTGTCAGTTGTATACACGGATGCTTCAGGTTCTCCTGCTTTCACTTTCTCAGTCATGGCCTCGCATGAATTTCAAATTTGCAACCAATTATGATACCAGGTAGAGCATTCTCACTTCAGTGTTTCGATGCAATTACACTAGAGGGAAGATTTTACACTAACGGCTCATATGTAGGCATGTCAGACATTCGTCGTGGCTAACTTGTGGAATAAATAAATGCAGTGAACAACTTCATATTTTGTATGTCTGATCAAAGTTTGACAGTAGTTTGTTTCTTCAGATTGATCTCTAAGCCAAGCTCAAGATACAATAACTCGAGAGCTTCGCGTCAACTAGAAAGAAACACATAATAAATCTTTGTTTACTGCAGGCAACGTACGTTTTGTGAACGCTGCAATCGAAGAAGACGAACTCCCGGTGGATAAAATCCGTGTCCGTTTCGCTCGACCGCACCGCTAGGTCGACAGCCACATGGTCTGAAACGAAACAATAAAAAAAAAGGTCATTGGTAGAATATAGTATCTGAAAATTGGGCTTTTGTGGGACGACAATATTATTTATGAAAAAAAAAAAAAAAAAAAAAAGTTAAGCATACATTTTGGAGCCCTGCGAAGCAAAAGAATCAAACATGTGCTACATTGTTGCGGTATGGTCTTTTATCATTTGCATCTGTATTTTCATAACGAATTGCATGGTCGAACAAGCAACATATATTTCCTCCTCTGATAACATGGTCTTTAAATTGGCTTAATTCAGACAATGTAGTATAATACCCGGCGGCACCGAGGCAAAGGACCAAGTGATTTCGCAAGGCCTCGGCGACGCGTGTAAAACGATGCGTACGCAAGCATACGTATCCCCCTAGAGAGAAAAAACACGCTACATATTTGTAACTACAATGCAATTTTACAAAATTGAAATACACAACTTAACGAGCAACATTGAACAAAGTTCGTGTAATCGTGTGATTACTTACAAGTTGTTTTAAGAAAATTATATTCTATGTTTTAGTACAGTTCTTTTGGTGTCACTAGATATATTGAGTGCACGGAGAACTATATCGGGCGAACAAGTTCTAAATTTGATGAGATATTATTTTTACGGCCATATTTTATTTTTATTTTTGCATGTGCGATGCTATACTTTAGAAGTGTAATAGAGCGCACTTCATAAATATCGATTTTGTCCTAGAAATACAAAACTTCGTGCTCCTAAAAAAGTGGCTCCTATTCATCTCTTTATCTGCTCGTACGTCAACGGTGGATATGTTTCTTCCCTTAACAAGTATTAAATATTCATATTTAGTAACTATTGGGGACATCAAAAGTTGTAGTTAGTGATCGTACACAGTTAAACGTAAAATTTGAAAGAAAGTTAAGTTTATCTTGGGGGAATATGCAGTATCATCAATATTGAACTGTGGAGACGGTAATCTAATTTCGTTCTCAATATGCGAGTATTTATAGTGAGTGAAAAATAGTAATTAGGAGAGGTGTCGTGGTAGTTGTATGTCTTCATCCTATTTTTGTGGAATTATGCACCTATGGTTTAATGGTAGAATTCTTGATAATGCCAGTATATCTAAATTCATTATATAAAAAAAAATCCACAGGTCTTGGGTACCTGTGCCCGGCATGATGGGTGGCCTGGCAGCGACCAGCGGAGACATGCAGGCCAAGCCGAGATGAGTCACCCGGGCCTGGATTGGCGCGCTGTTGCCGTACACGCAGAGATAGTGAGCTCCGTACGGTAACTGCGGAAGTTGGTTGATCACGAGCTCCACCTGTTGAGAGCAAGGAGTGGAAGCGACTAAGTATCGACAATAGTTCGTCATTTCACGGGAGATTTCTACACCCGCATACTCTTATGAAAATCTCGTTGTATTGCAATTTTTTCGTGCAGTATTTCAGCCTGCTAAAGCGTCCACAAAATAAATCTTACATATCTGACGCAATACCCTATTTCTAAAAAAAATAATGATATGACACAGAGTACTATACTTCGTCTCATCTTAGCATGGACTATTGCGAGCCGCGGATGCTAAAAGCGCGAGCTAGTTGCTTTGAACGAAGCCTCGGTGGCTACACGAGCCTTTGCGTAGCGAGTGCTCCAGTCAAGGCAATCAAGGCTAGCCGCTGGCGCTTGCACAACCTTCGCAGTTAGTCCGTGCTAGGATGAGGCGAAGATAGACGGTGGTACAATCTTTGGGTGAGGTCGCATAGCAATTGGTTCGCCACAAGAATACACCGCAGCTTTAAGTCTGTTTGAATGCGCATAAAACCAAGCCATAATTTCGTGTGGCTGGAGGCGACTGTGCCTGATAAAATCTGCTGGAGCTAAACAGCTTCAAGCTCCTGAAAAATAATCGTGTACCGCCGATATGTATAAACTGCGGTAATTCCGCAGATTATTGAAACCCAGAGTAGTAAAATAATTGCCGGATGACGAGTAAAATATGGCTGTTTATTGTCAGAGTATAACCACTAGCATGACAGACACTCACAATTGCAAAGAAATGTTAGAAAGACACTTTGGCACATGCAGCACGTTAAAGCCCTGCATGTATGGGCCAACTCATTTTTCGCCCTACGACTTCGTATTAGCCCGCCGAAATCCAGTTGTCGAAATCCCTGAAAATGTGCATACATAAGTGAGGCAAAGTTCATCAACCGGTCACTGGGATCCTTCCCAACTATAGTCACCACTTACCGATAGCCAAGCCCAAGCCAACACCCCTATCCAACTCAGAAAAAACGTCCACGGCTTCATTTCAAACTTTACACTCAGGGAAGTTTGAAAATCTAACCAGCGGTGGACGTACCCTGCGCACGGGAGCACACGTGCGTGCGGAAAAAACGGGGGGGAGGCAAGAAAGCGTAAAGCTCAGATATGAAAAAAAAAAAATCGCGAGAAAACTAATTTGACGAGGCAAACGAACGCACCGGCAGACGCCGCGCTCAAGCTCGCGACATCGTGCTCGTATCACTCACGCTCGGCTGACCACAGCACGTACATGGCTCGTGGAGAGGACCCAGCTTTTTCATTAAAAGCCCGGGCCATACGGTCGACGCCACGCTACTCACGAAAGGAGGAGCCCCAGCAAACATCGTCACGACGACGAGGAGGATTTCGGGTGAAGCTCCCGCGACGTGCGTCGTCGGAGCGCCATGGTCATCAACCAAGCGCGGCGGCGGCCGCGTGATGCTGCAGCTCTCGTCCAATCAAAGACGATTATGCACGCTTTTGCGAAACTGTCAGTTCCAATTAGCCTACTCGGGCGCAACCGCGCTGTCGAAACAAGCGAAGCGGGAACCAGCGACAAGAAGAGGGCTTTATGCTTTTTCAATAACGTTGAATCCCACTTGTCATCCTCAGGCAGGGCTTTGTTCATTCCCCATCCCCCTTCTCTTTAAATTCCGCCTATCAGTTTTTGCTTATTTATACAACATAAAATTAAAAAAAAACTGCCACTAACTTTAGTTGCGCGATCAAAGTCTTAGTGTCCGTTGCAGAACGTATTTAGTCGATCAGACTCAATATAATTTATTTTATTTTCGGTATCTCACTTTCGAGCGTATCTTGCTTAACTGCGTTGCTCAGCCATGTGAAGAATCGAGACAGCTGAAAAGGGTTAAAATATTTCAGTATTGTTTTATTATTAATATTTTTATACGGGGCTAATAAACTCGCAGTGACGTTCTTTCGATTACATCCTTCGAATTTCCTGTTTCAAACTTTGGCTAATTAGTATCGGCAAGCGGGATATCTTCCGCGCGGCTGCTTTTTTGTTAGTTTTCGGTTTTTTGAGCTTGTCAAAGTATCCAGTGCCGTTCACGCTTGAGCCGGTTGTGTTGAAACGTGTTCTCCTCGACAACATTGGTTCAAATTTACTGTAATAAGCTGTCGAGACTCAAGAGGCGCGTTCGCGCAAACGAGAGACGCTTCTTATCAAAGCTTCGCGGTAGAGAGAACAGACACCATGACTTCACGTTGACATGCAATCCCGACGGTATTAAATTTCGAAATTTTTTGTGACCCGGTATTGTGCGAGCGGCTACAAATGATTTCGATCAGAAGAACTTTGTAAAAAAAATATGTTTGTTATTATAATTCGATGCATTAACGAAAGTGAGTTACAGAATCCGCCTTAGCGGGTCAAAAGCTTAGTGTTCGCGTCGTAGTACGATGAACCAACAAAGGAAATACGTTCAAGTATAAATACTCCCGAATCAATCTCACCAAAAGGTTTCTTAACTAAACTCGGTTGGTACAGTGTGTCTAAAAGTGAAAGTAAATATATCGAAAGCCTTGTCCATAAGTCCTTTTTCTATAGATATATTTCCTTTACTCTCGCCCCGTAGTTCACATATCCGGTGAGCGGAACAAAACCAAGACTATGACTTTATGATCTGAAATCAGTGAAATTTATAGGAGAAGCAAGCGAAGAATTAGTGGCTGTTAAGGTTAAGACGTGCACATCTTCCAGTGGTGTGAAAACAACAAAATTAGGCTTTCCCGCATACTGGAAATTCTGGGATTCAAGATGGCAACGGCCATATAAAAATTATGTCTAAACTTTGTCGCAACTTCTGTGTTGACTTAAAACAAAGTAAATAATGCACGTATCCAGCTTCGATTGTCTGTCATTCGTCTGCCCATTTTGTCGAAGTAGTTTGGTTTGAATGCAGGATTGCATACTTACAGAAGCAAACTCGTGTTTTGCGAGCACATGTTGCGCGCAGTAGCCAATCACAGTGGAAGGAGGGAGATTCGCCCAGCAGCCAAATATTTGCGCCGCGAACCAACTGCGTGTTTTCCCACGTGCGTGTGTCGACTCTAGTTATCACCATAGCCTCCTCTATACTCACAAAGCCTGGCAGTTTGAAGACGGAGCCACGGAGTGCCCGGTCGTAGATTTGGAGCGTGAGGATCTGGTAGCACAGAGCATCAGAGTGCCATTTCTCGGAAAAACAAAACGTCAGCGCACAGCTCTTGCAACGGCGAGGACCCTAAACATACTTCTTCTGTGTTCCGGGTCAGCTGCGAGAGGCCGCAACGGGGCGCCAGTCACGTGGCTCTCCTCTCATCCGCTGTCTACCGCTCCAACTTTTCCACTTTGGCGGCTGCTTCTCGTGGCGATCTTCCACGCTTTGTCAGTATATACGAGGCTATGTTATAACTCACACTAGACGATACTCCCTCGCCTCAGTCTATGCATTATCGGTGATGTCGAGAGTAAAAAAGAGGAGAAACAAAGACGGATATTGAGGTTTAGGTAAGACGTAATTATGCGTATGACGGTTTGATCAATAAATCCAAATGCAGTTGATTAACGTAGAAGTTTGGGCTAGTAGGTAAGTAGACATGATAAAAACAAAACAGCGCAAAGACAAGGACGAAGTAGAAGAAACCACAGGACACAGCAGTGTGTCCTGTGGTTTCTTCTACTTAGTCCTTGTCTTTGCGCTATTTTGTTTTTATCAAGTCCAAATACAGCTGAACACTTTTTCTGTAAACCGTTTGGCGTAAACATGGAATACTGCGAGGGCACAAGTTCCAGCTCTCGTAGAGGGCGTCCGTCCTAACAAACTCCGCCTGCAACCGTCGTTGTAGGCCGCGTCAGGCATGTGCTGCACAGCGATGGACTTTTAGTCCTATGAACCTATAAAAATGGGAAGCCCTTCACACGGTTTAGGATACAGGCTTACTTGTCTCCAGCAATATTGCGAGCTAAGGCCCCGGGCTTCATCTATTATTATGTTTTCAGATTTCACTTGTAAACCATTATTTTATCGTGCCTTTATTTTCACGTGAAGGCGGGTGCAAGCGAAAGCCTAGGGCCTCTCCCGCGCATCCAGCGGCTTGGACTGCGTTGTGCACCCTGTATGAAACGAAGCATAAATTTATGATGAGGTAGGGCAGGGGGCAACCTATTTCCCTTTCATTTAAATTCATCGTGTTGTTCTTTCTGAAGATCGGTGTAAAAGAAACGCAGCTACAGAACATTGTATTGCTTTCTTTTAAATAAAGTAAAAAAACGTTAAAAAATATTAGGGTAAAATTTAAAAGAATGGTAACCTTTATGCCGGGGTCTCTCCCGAAAGCAGCAAGTCTCCTTCTTTTACGACCATTTGCATCTGAATAAAGCCGGTGATTCAGGCAACGTGAAGAAACGCCTTCAAAAGGAGACAAGAAGAAAAATAATAGAGAGGCGAAAGCTTCCCTAATACATGTGTGAAAGTCGAGGGACATTCTTGACACCGAACAAAAGAGAGACTCGAGATAAGGCAGAAAGGAAGCCGTGTTGCGAAGAAAGATCGCTAAAAAAGAATCCACGCAATCCAGCCTGATTCCCACGTGTGCCTTGACAATAAACATACTAAGCATTCGAGATAGAACTCGTCTCTCGGGACGTAGTCGTCCTTTCGGGGAAAAAAACTTTTAATTCGAGAACATGACAAGCCTTTCGTTTCAAAGCAATGTACCGCTGCCTATTTGCCCTCACGGAAGGAGCCTTTATTGAATAAACGCTGTATGCGAAGTACCTTGTTTTCCTCCGGCAACTATAGTATTCTATACCATAGCGCCTTCAACACTGTGCAATGCTTTTTTTTTTTTTTTTTTTTTCTTGCGAAAAGATGTGGTATACAAAGCGAAGACAACACGAGTGGAATTACTCATTCAATCACGAGAAGTAGTTTTGTTCGCTCGGCTCGTCGAAGAGGGACTGAGTCCGGGTTATTTCGCATACAACGTCGAGTGCGCGTACCGCCATAACGTCTAGGCCTGCGCGGGGGTGGCCAAGCCGCAGTTCTCATAACACGAACGCAATTGAATTAGCAACAGGGGAGAGGGAAAAGCCGCCTTTCTCGTCGGGCACCCAAAAGAACGCCCGCCCGATTCGACACGCGTGGTAAAGAAAGAAAAATTATCCGCGCGCATAAGTGAGGGAGTTATCTTATTATCTGTTTTCTTTTTCTTTTTGCCCGGCGATTATAATCGGGGGAATATTAATGAGCTCTTTGAAGACGGTAGCGTGTGTGTGTGTGTGTATGTGTGTGTGGATTATAGGACGACAGTACAGGCGGCCGGCAGTTTGGTGTAGGGAAGACAGGGGGCGTGTCTGCGTTTGCGCGGGACGTGATTTAACTCGATTAATATGTTGATGGGCCAACCGAAAAATGGCCTCCGGGCAGCGGACCGAAGCAGACCTCCGAGGTACTCGTGGGATGGATGGAAGTGCGCTTGAGTTGCATCCGTGTGTGTTTGGGTTGCTTTCGTTGAAAGAGAATTCAATGCTTTCGCGTCTCGAACCCCTCCTCCCCCTCCCCCCTTCACTTAGTCGACGCGTTTGTGTGGATGTGGTTTGTGGGAGATTTGGTTTTGTGTGTGTTTTGGGGCTTTCACCTATTTTTCGACTCTCGTTTCCCCTTTATTCCGCAGCGCTGGCGTGTTTAACGTAATTTGCGGGAAGCTAGGTGGTTTCGAAAGCGGCAGCTCGACTATATAAAGTTGGGGGAAGAGGGATTCTGGTTTTCCTAGCCGTCCTTCACAGTGGAGAAACTCGCGTCTACCGCGCACGCATTACCTTGGGACAAATAAATTAATACGTGCGTCGGGAAGAAAGTGGCGCATTTCCGCGTGGTTGTGAATATATGAATAATATTAACGAAGGGAATCTTAGGGGAAAAGGTACAGTTAGAGTCTGCTGCGATTAACTTGCGTTCACGAATTTGTGTTGATTATTATTTGAGGGCTCCCGAATAAGGGCAAAGCAAATTCGTGCGTGTCTTGAGATGTTTTTATTAGCACGAATGGTCTACTCCTGTTATATTGGTATCATGCATGTTAAGATAACATCTAAAGTACAAAACAGGCAACAATGGTGACCGAATTAGACGGTACGAGGCGACTCGTGGAGCGAGAGACGCCAAGCGCATCCTCGCAATGTAACTAATTATGTAACATTAACGAGTGGAACAGACGAATTCGATTATCTTCACTCGGACGATATAAACGATAATGTCGATAACCAAAAAACTGTATTTTTTTTTTTCAGAAAGGCTTTTTAAACTGCGCCGTCACACAGTTATTTGCGTGACTGTAAAATGGCTTTCATTTCTTTCTGTCACGAAGGAAAAATTTCGTTTAAAACACTCTATAGTTTCAAAACCAACGACTCATGGTGAAGTGTTTAATCAACGACGTGATCCCACCATAGGTGTATAGATGGAAATTACGATAGAGGGATGTGGAACATTATGCTTCTAAAAAAACGACATGTTTAAAATACTATAGGCAAATACTTTGGGAGTAGAGGCGTGCGAATAGCTCAGTGCTATCTCTAGCTCTACCACTGTTAATCAAACCGTTTGACGTGGATTTGCCTTCAACAATAAAGATTGTAAATGACGCAGTGCTTTTTTTTTTTTTTTTTTTTACCGGTTTTGGCACACTTCTACTTAGGGTATATGCTCGTGCAAGTCATTAAAAAGAAAGGCGAAAAAAAAAAAACTGACGGAAGCCACGACGCACTATAGTGCGAGCAAACTCACATCAGGGGTTTAGGGGATAACACAGAAACCAAACATACGAAAGCTCTTTCCCTCTCCGACGAAGTAAAGCCACCTCTCGTGTCTTTGCATCGTAGCGTACGCGGTGCCGACTTCCTCCCATGCTTCCACAATTACCGCACTCGCGCTCTCCATTACACTACGAACGTTTTTATTTCGGCGCATTCCCAGCCTGCGGTGCGCAACGGGCCGCAGGGCAGACCGTGTGGGCGTGGACGCCGGATTTGTGAATATTTAACGAGCGAAATAAGCCGCCGACGGAACGGTCGCTTCCGGACGGGCCCCCGCCCGATCTCGCACGTGCTCGGGGCGGGCGGGAAGCTCGCGAGGTTCGTAAAAGCGAACGCGAGAAGCACACGCCGTGGAATGAAGAACTTGCGTTTCGACGGCGTGCTGGCGTCATCGTGGCCAAGGTAACGGTGACATCTGTTTTCTTTTTCGCTAGTTCACGGTACGAATTTTTACTGAACGAATTTCCCGATGCTGTACGGTTGAAGTGAAATATTTTGTCGTTGTCTGAACGTTTTGTTAATTTAAGAAAATATTGAACACTATCGCGAAAAACGTGTCACCCCATACGCGTGTCATGTATATCCAATATAGAGGGTTGCGCTTAGCAGTTTATGGAGATTATTCTTTAGCTCAGAAGCTTGTTTCCGCTAAATATAAAAAAAGGAAATAGCGGGCCTATACCTAGAATTAGACGTTACCAAATGTATAGAGCCGGGGGTGGACAAAAAAACACCTCTGTCTTGTTGTTGTTGTTTTTTGTGTACACCCATCTGTTTTTTTTTGTTTTTTTTTTTATTTTTGTTTATTTTGAGCAACACTCAATTGCAGCTATCGTGCTCACATTCAACTGAGTGACTACGACCACGTTAGCGAAAGGTGCCGGAAACATGTGTCCACGGGTTTCACGATGTGCGGTGGACCGCGTTTTTGCATATATCACCGTTTCACTTATGCGATACAAAAATAAAACTTGGCATATTTTATGAACACCGTACCATCTTGATGATGGTGGTTTGCGAAACCGGGAGACCCGCGAGAAGTGGTAGCTATATTAGAGAGTTTTAGAATCAGGGGCCTCAACGTTTGCGTTCCACTAAGAAATTGGGGGACCCAAACGTACCAAGATTGGCGTCGACGGATTATAGAATAGGGGTTTCGCAACGCAGCGCGGCGCGCTTACGTTTCCCGCTTGCAGCGCCAATACGGCTAACGAGCGTAATTATCAAAACAGAAAAACATTAAAAAACTGTCAAGCGTATGCGCTTCGCAAGTACTCTTTGTTTACAAGTAATAGTACAAAATAATAGTAAAAACAAAAGACAATCTAAAAGCAGTACAAATGTTGTTTGATGTATTCAGCCAAAACAATCCAATCCGTTGCGCTCTAACTTGGCGCTCCTTCTCGGATTTTTGGGCGTTCGTGTGTGCTTTGACCGTCTGTTGCCGAAGATTTAGGCCTTTAACTATGCCGGGACTGAGAGGAACGCGAGTGAGCCTACTCTATGAGCAGCTGCTCTATTCCCATCTGAGCTGGAGCGACTATGAAGCCTCGAAATACTTGTTTTTAAGCTACAAGTATCCGTACCACGAACGAAATCCACTCGGAGACACGGAGTAGCGATAAATTGCCATGTCAACGGTTACCGCGCGTCTCTTTAGGCTTAGGAATGGCCAGAATCGGGAACAATCTTTAAATAGGGGCGAGCCCCCCGCTCATTCTTGGTGATTTGAACGAGATGAAGCGAACCGAAAGCCGGTTGCACCCTTCACTGACAATCGAAGTAGCTAATACTGCAGCGACCATGACAAATTTGCTCCGAAGCGAGCGGAAAGGGCGCCGCCATGTTTGCTGACGCAACCCGACCCCAAGCAAATAGGGGCCCCGCGCTATTTCCCAAATTTTGTGTTAGGTTTTGAGTTTTGGGTGCCAACCCAAAACTCAAAACGGAGCTTGGGTTCGGCGCATGCGCAATGGTGAGCCTATACTTTTTTGAGGCCCCCAAGCTTTGGGGCCCTCTATTCTAAAACTCTATGTTATTACTCTTCAAAACAAACGTGCGCAAAACGTTTAAGCCGGAAAGAATACCGGGTGGGAGTCATTTATTCCCCGGACGCAGTTTCTCCGTAAACGATGAAAGGGCTGTTATACAGAGAAACTACTTTCAATTTAATGCAATAATGCAATGCATTACTTTGAAACGGCATCATCACCAGCGGATACATAGTTATAAGAATTCATATTTCTACGGACATGTCTTTTATAAAGTTTGAGTTTTTTTGTTTTTTCTTTTTGTTTACTATTTCAAGTAATATAAAATGCCGTTCTCGTAATCTGTTGGCTCCTATAACGCGTAGCTTGTACCTTTACATAACCCGGAAACGTTTGCGATTTGGTCCGGATATATTGTAAACGATACGCGGAATGGCTGAAAAGCCGAATGCCGAGGGAGGGGTGTCTTTTTTCCCTTCATCTTTCTATTTTATTAAGTAGACAAAAGAAGAGTGAACGGATCTATGCAAACTGTTAATACTAAGACACATGTGAAGAAAAAAAAAAAAAGAAGAAGCGCGCACATTTAGTTAAATGATAAAATGGTAACACATAAACCACAAATGCGCGTTAAAAAAAAAAAGAAAAAAATTCTTGATTTTTAATTTACAAGCGGCAAATACGCTCGTCTTTTCAAAAATTAAGTTAAGCAATTTCCGCGGTTTCTTATATCGTGTGATTTTCGAAGGGTTTTCACAGGTGCGTTCTATTATTTGTTTTTTTTCTGGCACGCCGAGGGGATATACAAATAAACGGAGACTGACTTCTTTGCACGGCGTGCAATTGTGTTGCTCTCCAGAGGCTCGCAAGCAACAGGTATATGCTTACGATCGGGACATTCATATAAAGCAGGCTGTCAAAAACCAACCAAATTAGACGCTCGTGCTTAAAATGTATGGTCTGCTTCGGAGGTATGGTGACACTGGTTTACACTGTAGATACGATATCTAACCAAGGCAGCAGACTGCTAGCCTGGGGTCTTTAACGTGCATCACGCAGTACACGACCTCAGGCGCGCATGATGTTAATTGATATCTGAAAGGGCAGCGGTGGGGATCGAACGTCAACCGTGCACTCACCATGGCCATCGAGCGAAAGGGCAGCTGGTGTGGGCGCACGGCCAGAAAGTCGATGCACTTGTTAGAGCCCAGGGACAGCCAGCGCGCGGAGGGACTGCGCTCGGCCAGGGTCCACGTGGCATTCTGGCACTGGGCCTTCACCGTGCATCTGCAAACGTACAAGACAAGAAGTCAACACACGTGTGCTATGATTGACACAAGAAATCTCGTGGTAATGGACAAAAGTCGCCTGACTGAGACGTTGCGTCCTATGCGTCGATGAAGGTGCGATATCATTTGACGGTTTTGTTTTTAGTCATTGAGTTTACGTGAGCTGATGTCCCATTACGTGATCACGCGATCTAATGCCATATGATGTCCTGTAAAGTGACACCAATTAACCCGTTAAATTTATCGTGGAAAAAATCACGGCGTCACGTGGCTCCACGGTGTTACATGACTGACTCTCAGTGCAACGTGACGTGGTGCCACATTCGGCTCGCTACATTTAGCGGAGAAATCGATATCACACGACATAATGATGTCACTTCACATTACAACGCCATGCGATATGACCAACACGATCAAGAAAGGCCCGCTAAGGCGTCTGATACATAAAGCTTCCGTTTTCAAAGCACGCAATAATATACAATAGTTGGCCATCGTTGAAGAGCCTGAGCTGAAAACAGCACCCATGTAAACGATGGGAGCATGTACTGTTCACACGTAAACCATTCAGGTAGAGAGAGGTTTTCTCACGTTCACGTAATACGCTGCGTAAGTTCACTGAGTGCGTGCACCATGCGCAAGTTCCTATTTTATTCTCATATTGGCATTCTTGTCGAGTAGCAGCACCCTACAATACCCAGCCGCCTTGTGGTCCCAAATGGGAAAAAGAGCCAATAAGGCAGTATAAGTAGGGAAACATTGAGCTCTATATGCGCTGCAGGAGTTGTCAACAACCTTTACACGTCTTCAGGGGACTGTTCCACAGTCAACCGGTGACTCTGTCTCAAGACGCGGCAATGCATTAAGCAGGCACACGCCGTTCGTGAACAACAAATGATTTGACAGCCGCGTGAATAAGTTTTTGCGCGGTCCAGATAGTCGTTGATTGAATGGACGAGTGCTTTGAAAAGTGACACCTGTAGTAAAAGATCCCTCGTACTCTATCAACGAAGGTGAACACACGTTAATGGCAGGACTAGAGGGTTCATCAAAATAGCGGGAAAACAGATAAAAATAATATATATTTTTTTTTTAAATCGCAACTAATGGTGACACTAATCGAAGTATCGTATCTCATGTCTCTTATTTAGGTTTTAATTTGGTAAAATTAACAGTTTCGTTTGAGTAGCCTGACATTGATTTTTTGGTGAAAACTTCCTAGTAACATGAATAAGAATACAATGCCCGATGCGCCATAAATATTGCTGCGTAGTCACGATGACAAATCCCACATCTGGTAAATGACACTAAGACAATAGCCAAATGGACATTGGAGCCGATTGTTAAAAAAGACCGGGAGTGAAGTTTTAAGTCTTTTTCGCCTCAAAGATGTTTATCGCTGCTATAAATATCTTTAAATAATTTATTAATATTCATTTAGGTCAAACATTATAGCAAGTTTCGTTAGAGGGGAAGGCACAAAGAAGTTGCAATTTATATTTTCATTCAGTCAGATATGTCGGCACTATTCAAAATAAATAGCGCCAACTAACGATTAGTTAGCAAACTTAGCTTCCCCCCTATCTTCACCTCGCTGTCGAAAGACGAACAAAGCGCTCAAGTTATTTTTTTCTTTTTTTCTGAATCTTAGGTTGGACTAGTCTGGCGGGGAGGATATCCCGCTTCACGCCTCCATCAACTCCACTCCGAGCTATGCGCTTCAGTCGCCTGTTCTTTCATTATCACTCCCTAGCGTACTTGCTTCTTTTTTTGTTTTGTTTACCATTATTCTTCTTTTATAATCCCTAATGCAATGAAGTCCTGCAACAGCCTTTCGCAAGCGCCATAAAAACGCGAAAGAAAATAAAGAAAAGCGGTACGCATGTCAAGAAACAAACCCCCGAGTCCCGGGTCCTGGCCTGCCTTCTTTCCCATAAATTATCGGTAACTAAGTTTGGCGCCAAAAACCTCAGCAGAGAAGATGCTGAAGAACAAGCTTCGCTACTCGATGAAGCCGCTGCCGCCGCCTCTTCCCAAATCCACCGTTCCTAGGCTAGCAGGGTCGGCAACCAACCCCCCGAGAATGAACTCAGCGCTTCGTTTCCTTTTTCTTTTTTGTTTCTTACGCCATTTTTTTTTGTTACTCTTTCTTCTTTTCGATTCCTAGCTCCTTCGTTCATTTGGTTATGAAACACCCTCTCCCTTTTTCCTAAAATTAAATAAGGCCCTGCTTAGTCGCTTCATTGATGTCGCCTCGAACATATTCTGACTTATATACGCACAATGCGTTATACCTTTTTTTGTTGCTTCAGTATCCATAAGATGTCCCCTCAGTCCTGCTTATTTTAGTTATTTATTTTTCACGCACAAAAATAAAGGTGCCTTACGAATACGTACGCGGTAAGGGTACGCCACTGCACCATTTTTGTTTCCGTTTTATGGAGAGGACATATTGGTTGGATATTGAAGCGGTATAAAGTGATAGAAAGCACCGAATTGTGTAACAATGGGACAATACTATCCGCAAAGAAAAAAAAGTAAATACTAGCATAATATTGAAAGCATGAAAGCCTCTTCAATGAAAAAAAAAAACGTAGAAAATATAACTTAATTACCGTCGTGTTTCGCGCTCGCAGACGCGTACCTCTTTGCGGGTCTGTTGAGCTGAAAAAAGCGCCGCACGTAGCATTCTAAGAGCATTTAAAAGCGAGAAACTCCCGGGTCCAGTTGGGTAACGCAAAATAAATGCGAACAAAAGTAAACTTCTTTTGACCCCGCGTAAAGCTAAGAAGTAAAATAAGCGTAGGGCCGATGAAAGGTAAGGCGTAAAAAAAAAACGAAGTTAACAATTGAGAAACGAAAAAGACATTTAAGAACTTAATTAACGCATCCTCATTCTACAATAAAAAGCTAACGAAAGGGAGCTTAGGATGAGGGTAAAGTTTCATCAAAGGCAACAGGCTGCACACGTCTGTAATTAGACATGAACTTGTGATGGCAAAGGTAATTGCTAGCTTCAGTAGCTTTGGAAGCTTTGAGGCTACATCTTCGTCCTTCTACTTGATTCAGTCTTCCTCTAAACTTCTCGTTTTTTGTCTGTGTGTGTGTTTTGTTTTTACAGCTTGAAATTTTGTGTGTGGCTGGAGGAATCTTTTGCACAGTAGCTAATTAATGAATGAATGACTTATTACAGCTAGACAGGTGTGGACTATATCTTGCTGTACGATAATTACCCCTGGCAACATTCTTTCTTGCATTATCTTTAGTGAGAAAAAAATGCTTACTAGTCTTTTTCAGTCTGTCGGATGGATTAATTAATCGGGCTAATAAAGAAAAAGAGTTTTGCTGGTACAATTCTTTAACAGTTTATGTGGCGAGAGACATTTTTGTTAAGAGCATAACTTGGCATTAAGTGCGTGCTCTTTCCCAAATATAGCGAGAAAAAAAAAAGGTTTCGAAGTCATACAAATATACAGTTAATTTTACGCAACTAAACCACATCATAGATATAAGGTTTAAAAGCGCGAGCCCAAACCAAACTTTTAATAAACCACATCAATCGGTATTTGTTTTAGGACTCAACAATTTAATTTGCAATTTGCAATTTGCAATTTGCAAGTTAATGGCGTCCGCCATTAAATTGCAAAACGCTCTCTAATGGTTAGACATGGACCCTCACTACAATCAAGGCTCATTATGTGATGCTATCGAGTATCGCGATGCTTGAGGTGTTGACGCTAAAAACTACCCGAAAAAAGTACGAGCGATCGCGAGTGTCGCTGTCGTCGCGGCGTCCCAACTTCTGACTGCCGAAGCTTCCGAGGACTGTCGAGCTGGAGAGCGACCTGCAGTGGAACGGGCGTCTGCCACAGCGTGGCCTCCGAAATGCCGAAGCGCGAACGCTCCTCCGGCCGTCCCATTCGTGCGGAGACGGCGGAAGCGGCGAAAGAGGAGGAGGCGGCGTCTCTCCGCGGGGAGGCGCTCTCAACCCAGGTATCGAATTCGCCGTTTTAGTGGTGTCAGCGTGGAGCGAGGGAGAAGAGATTAAGAAAAAGTCGTGTTACGTCGAGTTGCTGCAGCTTTTATTTACAGTAAAACTTTGGTTGGGGCTAGTTGGTTAATATCGATTAAAAGGTTAAAAGGCACGAACAAACAGGAAGAAAAAAGACACGTACGACACGGACAGGCGCATAGCCGTGTCGTACGTGTGTCTTTTTTCGTCCTGTTTGTTCGCGCCTTTTAACTCTACTTACAGATTTTTGTGTATTGTGGTAGCACTTCCCCAGAGCTAGCTGCTCTGGGGAAGTAGACAGAGAAATTGTGTTGCTTGTTTAGTTTGAGATATTCGTCTGGACATGTGGCGCTCATTTTGATATATTTGACTGCAATCTGCATATAAAACAAAACAGTTTTGTTCCCTCCATAAACATTTTGAATTTTCCAAAATAGAAATAATCAGGTTATACTTTTTTTTTTCTGCACGTAGTTTGACGTAACTTTTTGAGCGTGAGCACGAGGTTGGATACTATATACCGCAGTCCGGCGTTGTCCTTCTTTTAATATTTGTATTATTTTGCACACAACTAATGAAAGTCACATTGCGGGGTTTGCTACTACTAGAGGCACCTCTATGCCTGAGTCTCACTGCGTATACATCATAGAAAAGATAGTCTGCAGATATTAGTCACCACGATATCCGTGTTTCGAATGCCGCGTGCCATGTGTCTCATGGAACTTGTTACCATGCGGCATTCGAAACTCCCATCTCGTGGTGACTAGCGTTTGAATTTGTTTGCAGACTGTCTTTTGTATGATGTATAAGCAGTGTGACTCCGGCTTTAGAAAAAAAATTATGGCGGTGAGATAGGCCCACCAGGAACTTTCTTTTCTCCAGCTGTCAGTCTTGTTTGCCTCTCCCACATTTTTATTTTTCAATGACTTCGCCATTGTTTTTATAAACTTGCTGAAAATTGTAGGTTTTGATTCAAAGAGGGGGCATTA